TGTAAGTTTTTTGCAAATACCATTGTACTCATTATGTAATTTTAAAACACAAACAAAAATTGAAATAAAAAAAGGGTGAGATAAAAGTACACAGACGTCTTAATAATTTCTTCCTTCACCCCCAACAGGAGTGAATGTCTGATTTTGGAGATCATTGGATTGATTGGAATGCTTCTAACATCTGTCTCTGATTTACTTGAGCTATATTTTTATTTTTTAAAAGATTTATTTATCTATTTTAGAGAGAGAGAGAGTGTGAGAGTGTGGGGGTGGGGCAGAGGGAGAGAGATAATCCTCAAGCAGATTCCCTGCTGATCACAGAGCCCTACATGGGGCTTGATGCTATGACCCCGAGATCACCACCTGAGCGGAAATCGAGTTGGACACACAACCGACTGAGCCACCCAGGTGCCCCAATGAGCTATATTTTTAAATGTAAAAAAGACAGGGACGCCTGGGTGGCTCAGTTGGTTAAGTGACTGCCTTCGGCTCAGGTCATGATCCCAGGGTCCCGGGATCGAGCCCCGCATCGGGCTCCCTGCTCGGCGGGAAGCCTGCTTCTCCCTCTCCCACTCCCCCTGCTTGTGTTCCCTCTCTCGCTGTGTCTCTCTCTGTCAAATAAATAAATAAAATCTTAAAAAAAAAATAAATGTAAAAAAGACAATTCAGTGAAAACTCTTGCTCTATCGTACCTTGTGGTCCCCAAACCTATTATTATTTATTATTGGCCCTTTCCAGAAAGATTTTGCCGTCCCTTGACAGGGAAAGTGTCTGGGTCACATTCCCTTTCTTCCATGTGGTCAGGACTTCATAAGCTCCATATATAGATGTATGTACGTATAGGCGGCTCTCCAGTCCCAGGGGCTGGTCCTGGTTAGCTGCACCCCTTGGCCTGCAGACACCCTTCCTCCAAAGAGTAAGAAGTGGCTTCTTGGGTGGTGGCGGCCAACCCTCCGCGTTGCTGGGGACAGGCTCTTGGGCTATGGTCTTGGGCACCTCACAGTGGTCATTAGCTGGGTTCTGGTGGCCAGGCCCTCAGCCACAGGGTGGTGAGAACTATGGGCTGGGAGCCAGAGCATGTCACCATGCAAACCCTTGGCCCTGTAGAGACTAGGTGGAAGCAGGCAGGAGCTCAGAGTTCCCCTGGTGGGTGGCTGGACCAGTGGGGAAGAGAGTGGGTATAGTGCAGTTGGGAGGAGGCCAGCTGGGTGCCCAGCTGAAGGCAGCCATGTAGCAGAGGATGGCCGAAGAAGCTGTCACCAACGGCTTGGCCTAGGTTTGGGGATGGACACCAGTCCGGGAGGTGGGGAAGGCAAGACCCTGGTATTGGAAAGCTGCCCTTAAGGATGACACCAAGTGAGGTCTCTGGCTGTGGGTCCAGTAACTTAAAATGGGAGCAGAACAGAGCAAAGGTTTGGGAGGCAGGGGTGAAGGCCTAGGAGGCAGGCTCCCCAAGCTCCCCAATCTCCCCAAACTTTGGGCAGTCATTGGAATGAGGGAATCAGCAAATCGATCAATAGGTAGGTAGGTCGTGGGCAGTGATCTGGGCTGTATGCGGGGATCCTGGGTCACATGGGTGAAGATGACACAGCCCCAGCCCACAGGGGGATTGTTTGATGGTTAGACAGATGCTTGCAAACAAGCAGAATCTACAGTGTGTGATGGGGGAGGGAGGCACAAGGCATGATCAGCTAAATTGAAGATATGGTCGGTTGGCTATGGCTTCCCCTGGGGGGTGGCCGCAGTGTGGGATTTTGAACGATAAAGTGGATTTGGAAACTCCAGAGCAGCATTAACCACCTTTTGGTGGGTTATTGTTTTCTTGGATTTTCTTTTTTTTTTTTTTTTAAAGATTTTATTTATTTATTTGAGAGAGAGAGAATGAGAGAGAGCACATGAGAGGGGGGAGGGTCAGAGGGAGAAGCAGACTCCCTGCCGAGCAGGGAGCCCGATGCGGGACTTGATCCAGGGACTCCAGGATCATGACCTGAGCCAAAGGCAGTCGCTTAACCAACTGAGCCACCCAGGCACCCATTTTCTTGGAATTTCATTACTCCCTGTCTGGCATATTTCTGGAAGGTGGGATAAGCCTGTTTTTTGTTAATTAAATCACATTTTGAGTGTCGTGGGGGGAGCTGGCTATGTTAAGAAACTATGGTAGGGTCGCTTGGGTGGCTCAGTTGGTTAAGCAGCTGCCTTCGGCTCAGGTCATGATCCTGGAGTCCCGGGATCGAGTCCCGCATCGAGTCCCGCATCGGGCTCCCTGCTCGGCGGGGAGTCTGCTTCTCCCTCTGACCCTCCTCCCTCTCATGCTCTCTGTCTCTCATTCTCTCTGTCTCAAATAAATAAAAAAAAAAAAAAAAGAAAAAGAAACTATGGTAAATCCTCTTGTTAATCGAAGAATCCTTTTGTAATGTGAATGATGACACTCTTGTTTCTCTGTGTTTTAAAATTACATTTGATATATTTATTTCCATTAAACACCCAAAGGGGACTTTTGGAAATCAAACATAATTTAGTTTGGGGGTTTATTTGTAAATATTGGAGCACCTCATGCCGTCTCTGGAGACCCTCAGTGAGGTCCCCAAACAAAGTGGGAATTAATACCTTTAATGAAGAGGGATTCAGGGCAAGCATCAGATTTCCTGCAACCTCCACGCCTGCTTTGGCTAGTTCACTCCTTCGGATCTTTACCTAACTCAGCTCAAATCGCACCTTTTTTGTGGGGTAACATAGGCATCACGTTAAATTGACCACTTTGTCATTTTTAAGTGTACAGTTCAGCAACATCAAGTATGTTCACATTGTTGTGCGACCCTCAGTTCTGTCCCCCTCCAGAATTTCTTCATCTTCCTCAACAAAACTGTCCCAGTGAAACATTAATTCCTTGGTTGCCCCCACCAGCCCCTGGAAACCAGCCTTCTGTTTTCTGTCTCTGTGCATTTGACTGCTCTAGGTATCAAATGCTGCCATTTATTTGTTTCTTTCTTTATTCATTCATTCATTCATTTAGAAAGGACGATGGGGGAGGGTCCAAGGGAAAGGGAGAGAGAGAATCTCAAGCAGGCTCCCCTCCCAGCGCGGGGCTCGATCTCATGACCCTGAGATCATGACTTGAGCCGAAATCAAAAGTCGGATGCTTAACTGACTGAGCCACCCAGGCTCCCTAAACTTCACTTTTATTTTAACCGGTTATATAGTGCAGTGTTTAAAGAGTCAAATAGTTTTATAAGACTTGTTATAAAAAGCAGCCAAGTCCTCGTTCCTCCTTCCCATGTCTTGTTCTCCAGCGACAACCATATTGAATTCTTTTAGCCTTGACGTTCACATCCATAAACCTAGGGAAGGTGTTTCTATTGCTACTTTTTGATTTTCCTGTTTTAGGCATTTTCTATTGATTTCTCACTATGAAAAATAAGAATTTAGCTTTCCCATAATTTCTTTGAAATGTGTTTTATTGTGAAGTATATCATACATACGAGAGTCTTCCATAGCCTGCTAAAAATAAAATACTATTATTTGTTCAGCTGAAGAACAAGACCGGACACTGTTAGAAGCCTGCATGTGCCCCTCATTGTGCTCCCTTCTCTTTTCCAGATGAAAGCACTAATCTGTGCTAATAATTTCCTTCCTTTTCCTTATAATTATCCTGTGTGTACATATTCCTAAACAATCTATTGTTGAGTGTTACCTGTTTGTGAATATAATATAAATGGAGACATATGGTATGTTCTGATTTTGCTCCTTTCACTCAGCTTTATGGTTCTGAGGTTTGTCTACTGAATGCATGCAGCTACAGCTGGTTCATTTTTCTCTACTCTGTTGTGTTCGGTATGAATACAACTATACCTCCATTTGTTCGGTCTTGTCCATATAGCTGGTGCCCCTGAGCAAGAGTTTCTCCAGGCCGCATAGGTGGGAGTGGAATTGTCAGGGCATAGGGCATGTGGTACCTTTTCAAGTTCACTAGGTAACAACGGTTGGTGGTAATCTCACCAATTTAAACTTCCACCAGGAGTGGTTGAGAGAGATCACTTGTGAGTGCTCTTCTATGAAATGGCCTTGCATATGTTTTACTCCTTAAAAAAAATTAATGTACAGATGTTCTTTATATATCATGGTTATCAGTAGTTTACTGGTTTTATGTATTGTAAATATATCTTCTCAGTTTGAAGTCAGCTTTCTTTTTTTTTTTAAGATTTTATTTATTTATTTGACAGAAAGAGAGAGAGAACACAAGCAGGGGGAGCAGCAGTGGGAGAGGGAGAAGCAAGCTCCCCGCTGAGCAGGGAGCCTGACATGGGGCTGGATCCCAGGACCCTGGGATCATGACCTGAGCTGAAGGCTGACGCTTAACTGACTGAGCCACCCAGGCGTCCCTGAAGTTGGCTTTCTATTCTCTGTCAAGGATCTTAAGAACAGAAGTTCTTAAAATTTAATTTAGTTTTGTTGATTTTATCCATCTTGCCCTTTATGGGAATCTTTATGTTCTTTTTTTCCTTATGTCTTATTTACCCAAATTATTCCCCATCCCAACTTCAGAAAATATTCTCTATATTGTCTTCCAAATGTGTTACAGTTTTGCCTTATACATGTGAGCATTTTAATCTACCTGGAATTGATTTTTATGTGTGGTGCAATAGGGATTTAATTCCATTTTTTCCATCTACATCTACAATCATCCCAGAAACATATATTGAATAGTCCGTCTATTTCACAGTGATCTGCTATGCCAAGTCTGCAAAAAAGGAAGTTTCCAAATATGCTTGGGTTTGTTTCTGCGCTCTATTTATCTGTGCCAATATACTACAGTGTCTTAATTACTATAGCTTTATAATACGTTTTAATGTGTCATGTAGAAAGTCCTCCCACTTTGTTTTCAGGATTATCTCGACTCTTAGGATTGTGTTTGTTTGTGTTTTTTCGTATATACTTTTATCAGCTCGTGAAGTTTTGTGGGAACTGTTGTGCTTTTGACTGCAATTACTTTGCATCTCTAGATCTATTTGGGATAGTTGAAGAATAAGTACATGAAGATAAACTGCAGAACATCCAAGACAAGAAGATCTTCAAAGCAACCAGGGATAAGAAAAGATCACCTGCTAAAGAACAGTGACTAGACTAATCAATTACATTTTAACAGTAAAAATGGAAGCCAGAAGACTGTGGGAGATGTTTCCAATGTGCTGAGAGTAAAACAATAATCAACCTGGAATGGATACCCAGTTAAACTATTTTAAGAATGAAAGCAAAATAGAGGTGCCTGGGTGGTGTGGTAGGTTAAATGTCCTGCTCTTGGTTTTGGCTCAGGTCATGATCTCAGGGTCATGAGATCGAGTGAGCCCCACTTTGGGTTTTGCGCTCAGCACAGAGTCTGCTTGAGATTCTCTCTCCCTCTCCCTACCCCTCCCACTTGTGCTCTCTCCCTGCCTCCCACCAAATAAATAAATAAATCTTAAAAAAAAAAAAAAAGAATGAGGGATGCCTGGGTGGCTCAGTCGGTTAAGCATCTGCCTTTGGCTCAGGTCATGATCCCAGGGTCCTGGGATTGAGCCCCACATCAGGCTCCTTGTTCATCGGGGAGTCTGCTTCTCCCTATGTCTGCCGCTCCCCCTGCTTGTGCTCTCTCTGACAAATTAAATAAATAAATAAATAAATAAATAAAACGAAAGCAAAATAAAACTTTCAAACAAATAAAAACAGAGAACATCACTAAAGGAAAGTTTCAAAAGATCTACTTCGAGCAGAAGGAAAATGACCCTAGATACTAGGTATATTCTCCTAGGAGGAAGATCAGGAACTGGGCTTGAGAGAACTCTTCCAGGGGAAAATCTGTTTACCGTTGAGGTGTCTGGCTTTTACTCCTTTTTGAGATCTTTAGATTCTTACTCTCATGCCAACTCAGTGATACCTTTTAAAAGTTATTGAAAATATGTTATCCAGCATTTTAGTTGTTTCACGTGGGCAGGAGGACTGTTTGGGCATCTAAACCCCCCACCTGCAGGAGATAAAAGTCCTCCAACAGAACTTCTTTCAGAATACTCTGTCTCCTCAGTCAGTATGGAGTCCATGGTACCTCTCCTCATGGCATACTGTGGCACACACACCAGCTATATTTTTACAATTATTTGCATGCTCTTTAAATTAATTGTCTACTTACCCCATTAGAAATCTAAGGGCCAGGTCTGTTATTGCTCTCTGTTTTATTCCCACACCTTGGCAAGTGCCTGGCACATAGCAGATATTCAGTAGACATTTATTGAGTAAATGATTAGATGAATAATTAATTTTGAGTGAGAAGCCAATATTAGGTATTAAGTCAAGCAGAGCTGTGTGTTTCTGCTTCTAGTCCAGCCATTGGAGGCAACTGCTGTAGGGCTGGTGAATTCCCACAAAACTATGCTGTGTAATGTGATAGCCATTAGCTGCATGTGGCTATTTAAATTATTGAAATTAATTAAAATTAAATAAAATAAGAAATTCAATTCCTTAGTCACACTGGCCACCTTTCAAGTGGCTAGTGGCTATCCCATTGGACAGTGCAGACATAGAACATTTCCATTATCATAGAAAGTTCTATTGGAAGGGCTGCCATAGAGTTCTCAAGAATTCTGAAGTGCCCTTCTCTCTTTCTCTCTCTTTCTCTTTTGCTCTTGCTCTCGCTCGATCTTTCTTTCTCTCTCCCTCTCTCCCCACCCCTAAACCAAAAAGACAGGGATAGTTGTCTTATTATTAGTGACTTAAATGATGCTTTTGAACAAGAAGATGCTGGGTACTTTTGGTGACTAGCACCATCCCACGTTTTTTTCTTTTAAATTCCTGAGCTATTGTTTACTAGTACGCTCTTTTATTCCTATGTCTACTAAAGCTGAATGTTACTTGGGTGGAAAGCCTAATTGCTTTCTTTTCTAGGTCCTTAAACCCTTTGCTAATGTTTCTGTCTGAGAGTTCCCAAAGCCAGGGTTCTAGGAGAGTTTGGCATGTCTGAACAGCTGAACCACGAAATAATGGAGTAGGTCCGGCGGGGTGTGGGAGCAGGGCATTCTGTCAATAAAAGAGCTCCCCTCTCTGCACACATGGCCAGTTAATTGGCCATTCTGGGAAAGGATGGATGGGGAGGGGGGCTTCTGAGAATCGCCGGTGACAGTTAAGTGGCCTTTTGTTGACGTCCTCTGCTGAACAACTTTGTTGGATTTAGTCTCTGCTTTTCCTCGGCCTCCTGTGGATTTTCTGTTAGATTCATTTACCATTCAGGCATCATCTTTCACTCTCTCCTTCCAATATGACTGCTTTGTGTGCTGGCCTCGGCTTTATTCCCGCTCTTCCCAGACCATAAAGGGGGCTGTGTGGGGCTTCGGCAGGACCGAGAAATTGACTCTGCTGTCTGTCGAGAACCATAATGCTCGCAGTGACCTTGGTGTCTAGCAGACAATGCACCACCTGCACCAGCCTACCGGCGACCGGCTGAAGATAGAGGAAAGGGCGGCTTCCCCGAATTCCTTCTCATGCTATGTGTCTCTTTCCTTGGTTCCCCTCTCCGTTCCCTTCTGTCCCCCTTCTGCCTGCTGCAACTCACGTCCTGACCTAAGACGCAGCTGTGACTAAGCGTTAATGCTCTTGAAATAATAATATGTTCTATTTTGCAGGCTTGGCCAAGCCAGTTCACCCAAGTTGTCTCATCTAATACCCCCCCAAACCCCTGTGAGGTAGGGAGGGGAGGTATTATTAACCCTATTTTCCTGATGAGTAAACTGAGATTTAGAGAGATTAGGGCAGTTGCCCTCAGTCTTTTAGACAGGAAGTGAGCAGGAGGCCTCTGTCTCTAAACCCAGCATTCTTTCCGTGGCGTCCACACCCTTATGTGTGAGGAGGACGTGGCCCAGGGGAAGTGTGAGTGGATGGGGAGGGAGAAGGAGAGCAAAAGGAAAACGTTCCATGAAGAGGGAGGAAAGGAGTGATTTCCTTGGGCCTCTAACTGTTCTCATCTTTCTGCGGAGATGGAGGATTTGATGTTCACCAGAGGCTGGCCCAGCAAACCTCCAGGGAGGAAAGAAAGCCAAGAGCCTTGTCTTCTCTTTCCCCCTTTCCTCTTCCCAGGAGGGGATTTGCCTGGCAGTGGGGAGGGGTAGCCCTAGCTCTCCCCAGGCCCTGCGCGTGGGAGTCACATGCTGGGTCTCCCCCGAGAGAACCTAACGCCTGTTCTCAGGCCGGGCCTGCCGGCCTTTAGGTGCCGCGTGGTCTGGAGGCCTCGGCCATGCCTGCCCACGAGGAAGGCCCCTGAAGCTCGCCTGAAGGAAGAAGCATGCAGGGCGCCCCTGGAGGAGGCGTGGGCCCTGGCCCGTCCCCTGTGGACAGGTGGACGCTCCTGGTCTTCAGCTTTATTCTGGCAGCAGCTTTGGGCCAAATGAATTTCACAGGGTGAGTGGCTGTTCCACCGTGTGGGGGGTGGTGGCTGTGGAGAGCTTGGGGACCAGGTGTGTGTGTGGGGGGGGCAGCGAGGGGAGGTGGCTATCCTACTGGGACCTGGCCAAAGTGGAGGGATTTGGGCCCTCAGTTCCATTCAGGTCCATAATCTCCCATGCCCATGCTCAAGGGCAGGACAAGCAGCTGTGTTATTGTCCCTTTCCACGTTAGTTCTTAATTGTGGCCCATGGGGAAGCTTTCAGGGCTCCACGAATCCCCTGATTCTTGATTATATGTAAAATTATTGGCCTATCTACTTTTTTTCCTGGGGGGAAGGTTTATAACTTTCCTCTGATTCTTAAAGAAGTTAGTAACTGCCAGAAGACTATGTCTCCTTGCCCTAGGGATGCAGTATTGTCCTCCTGTGAATAACAAGAAGCCCTAGTGTCTCACACCAGGCCCTCTAGGGACCTGTTTCTCAGCCTCCCAAAGATCATGCAAGGTGACTACATGGTATGTCCATAGTGGTGATCAGAGAGGGGGTTAGTGAGGGCCTTCATCCTCCCTGATATCTGAGCCAGCCAAGGAGGGAGCCGGCGCCATCCTAGGCAGCAGACCCCGGAGGTCACAGCTCCTCCAGCAGGATGGGAAGGGGCTCAGCTTCCTCCCAAAAGGTAGCGTGAGGCTGATCTCCCCTTCTGTGTCCTCAAGCTCTTGAGAGAAGGCCTGAGAAGGCCCAGGGTTTGACAGACCACGGCCCCGGGTCCTTGTATGAAGAGCACTTGGGGCCACAGTTGGTCTCCCCTGTCCCCTGGATCTATGCCTTTCTCCCCTTCATTCCTTTTGTTCTCCAGCCCTCCTCCATTCCCCGCAGTTCCTTTCCCGTACTTCCTCCCCCGTCTTGGCGCTGGGTTCATCAGGAGCTCTGCCAGGCTTTCTTTAGTCCCTTAGGTGGTCTGTCCTCAGGCTGGAGCGGCCCCTATCCCAGGCTGAAGGACTGTGTGCTTCCCGGAGCTACGCGTCCTTCTGCTCAGGGTCCTCTGGCCTCCCAGCCTTCCCACCAGGTGCCCTTGGCCTGGTGTCTTCTCATTCCACCTCCTCCAAGCAGCCCAGCCTTCCAGGAAGCCCTCTCCGCAGCTCCCTCTGCCCTCCCTGTGTCTTTCCAGAGACCAGGTTCTTCGAGTTCTGGCTAAAAATGAGAAGCAGCTTTCAGTTCTCAGGGATCTGGAGGGCCTGAAGCCCCAGAAGGTGAGGACTCCTCAGAGCTGAGGAACACGTGGTGCACTCTCTTATAGTGACTTGCACTGTATGTAAAATTATTGGCATATCTACTTTTTTTCCTGGGGGGAAGGTTTATAACTTTGGCCCCCTTGCCTGCTCCCCCCACCCCAAGCCTGCCCGCCAGACAGCTCTGCCAAAGAGCACAGCACTGTGGAAAATCACATGCGGCTCCTCTTCAGGAAAGGTTGGGAACACTCGCCCAGAAGGTTGGGTGGCCCTTCTTGGCTTTCTCCTCTGTCCTAGATGGGGGGCTGTTGAGCAGACCCCGTCAGGGGCCACTTCGCAAGTGACTGGGATGTCCCAAAGCCACACGGGAGGCACATAGGTCCCTGGGTGGGACGCCATGCCGAGTGCAGCCTGGACACATCTGTTTCCCAACTGAAATGGCTTAGCTTGGCAAACCTGTGTTTTATTTGGGTTCGTCCCTGTCAGGCTGAGGATTTGTTTCCAAGAACATTGTCCTCTGCAAGTATTCCACGATGGAAAACATTTTCTTCAACTGTTAGAATAGAAGGGTATTGTTGGAGGGCCGTTGAAACAACCAGATATTTCTGGAGGTGGCCTGCAGCCCTTGTCCCTATTTGTTTGAGTACCCCTCTCTCCCAAGACGCACAACACTTTATAACAGTTCTCTCCGTTTTACAAACTGGGAAATTTGGATGACATGGGAATCCAGATTGGGTGCCTCCCACCTCTCCGGGGCTTGGGGGCAGTGATGCCTCCCTCTTCTGACCAGGGTTCTTGTCCATGTTCATGTCCCATATGATGAGCTGTCTCACTTTTAGCAACTGTGTAGGGCTCTTGGGGTCCAGGTGAAGTTGCAGTGTGTGGGGGAGGCTGAGAGATGAAGGTGCTTGGAATTATGGAGGGGAGCTCAGCTCGGGGATTTGGTTTGTTTGCCCCTGTCTTTCTGCTTGGCCTTAGGGTTTTCATTTTGGAACTGGGGCCCTTTTAACCGTGTAAGAGAAGATGATCACCTGGCTCCCTAAGGTGCCTAGAGGATGGTGAGTAAGGACACGTGATAAATGGGTCTATTTTCCTTTCCTTTGTGACCAAGGTGGACTTCTGGCGTAGCCCAGCCCGGCCCAGCCTCCCTGTGGATATGAGAGTTCCTTTCTCGGAACTGAAAGACATCAAAGCTTACCTGGAGTCTCACGGCCTTGCTTACAGCATCATGATAAAGGACATCCAGGTGAGGTCCTGCCCCAGGGCTGCAGCTAGGGGCCCCCTTTCCCCATGCCTTTCTGGTTTGGGCCCAACACGGAGGAAAACAAGCCAGGGCTAACAGTGGACATCTTGTTTCTAGAGTTCCATCTGCATTCTTGTGAAGTGGCTGTGGAAGGAATGAAAGCTCACACTTCTCAGAGAATATTTAAATCTAGGACAGAGTCCCCAGGGGGAGGGTCTCCTGGTGTGGTAATGGCGGCCACTTGTGGGTGAGTCCTCTTGGGGAGGGATTCGCAGCTCACGACGGCCAAGGAGGAGAGCCAGGAGGAGGGGAGCAGGAGGAGGTAGCTCAGGTCTTCCTAGGCATGAGGAGAAGGCAGCTCTGGATGCCTCCCTTGGCTTTTCCGACTGTCCCTCCTGTCCTTGCGGTGTCTCAGCCATCCAGTACCAGAGAGTTCCTTCACTCCAGAGAAGTGGCAAGAGGTGAAAGAAACCTAACTGTGGGCCCTCTGTGGTTTCCCTCCCAACACCAGGACCGCAGTGCTCTCAGTCCTGGGCACTTCTCCCAGGCAGGACGCTCCCAGGGCAATAGCTTTGGGAGAGGTGGCTGCAGACCCGCCCTCGGGTAGGGCAGAGGGACCCTCCCTCCCGGCCATGCCAAGCTCCCCACCCCCGCTGGTCAGCGCACCTTACAGTGTCTTTTCTGAACGTCATGACATTTTATTTCCACTGTTCTGTCTTCACGGATGTCCCAGGGAGCCTCCTTCCTACAGCAGTTCTTGGGGGCACCACGTGCTGGTTAGGCCTCTCTGGCCGCACCCCTTTGCAGATGCTGTTGGGGGCCTGTAGAGTCGTAGCCACCTAGATTCCTCCCCAGCCACACTGTGATACAGCTCATCTCTGAGGGCTGGGAGTGTGGGAACCCAGTCTCCCGGCTGCACGCACTTGACACCACATGCCAGGGGATAAACGCATTAGGAACGTCCCTTTCCCAGGCGACCACAGGGCTGGGCCACTTAGGTCCATTCAAAGACCTTTATCCCTCATCAGGCACATGTGTTTGCTGCTCAGTGTGGAGGGGTGGGCTCTTTCTCTAATTAATCCCCCACAAACCAAAATGGGGAACTCCCGCAGACGAGACAGGGTGCCACATCAAAAGAAATAGCACTCACGGGCGCCTGGGTGGCTCAGTTGGTTAAGCCACTGCCTTTGGCTCAGGTCATGATCCTGGAGTCCCGGGATCGAGTCCCAGGATCGAGTCCCGCATCAGGCTCCCTGCTCAGCAAGGAGCCTGCTTCTCCCTCTAACCCTCCCCCCTCTCATGTACTCTCTCTCTCTCTCATTCTCGCTCTCTCAAATAAATAAATAAATCTTAAAAAAAAAAAAAGAAATAGCACTCACTTCTCATCTTTAGCCCAAGCCTGAATTTTGAAGTTTGCGTTTCCCTGCTTTCTGCCGTGCCCTGGAAACCCCGCAGCATTTGGCAAACAGATATGAAGAGGTCTCTCAAAATTTTCTGTTGATTTCTGCACATCGGGAATGGCCCCAGAGGCACCTCTGAGCCTGCCCACTGGTTCCTTTGGGGCTGTCGTCCCCATTCTCCTCAGCCTGTCCTCTCCTGTCATCCTGGGCCTGGAATCCCTCGGGGGGGGGGATGGGAGGGGGATAATGCTTTTTACTCCCTTTTAGTAAGATGCCCTGGACTCTCAGCCCTCACCCAGCCAGGCAGGATTTTCACCAACAACTCCGTCTGTCTGCACTGCATCAAGCTCTGATGGTCATACTTAAGATCCCATTGTGGATTAGAGGGAGCAGGGGGCCCCTGGGGGAGGCTGCTGTGTTGAGTTGATTTGTGGTGATGAGGGGGAGAGTGTCCAGGAGGAGAAAAGCTCAGAGGTGCTAACAGGAGGGGAAGGCTTTGCACCACTCAGGTTGTTGGCCTCCAGCCTTATGTTTCAGTTATTGATGCACAGGCCGCATTTCTTCCGAATCTTCCGAACCTTCTCAGCCGCGGTGTTTGGCATAGTGTCTCTTGCACGGTGGGCCCTCAACTGTCGCAGCAATTACTCTATTGGCAGGTTCAGAAAGAGCATGCCCAGACAGAGACCTTGCTATTATGTTGGTCTTTGTCTCCAGAGCCCCCTCTCCTGAGCCCCTCAAGGTCCAGGATCAGGCCCCTGTCTGTCTTTATACCCTAGCACCTACGAGAGCACCTGCCACTCGGTTGGGGCTTAATAAATTTTAGCTGAATTAATGGATGCGGGGGAAGGAAAGAAGTGGAGGTGTGTTTGCTGGACACCACCAGGCTGAGAGGGAGAGGGAAAAACCTTGGTGCAGGCTTTTACTTTGGCCAGAGGCCCTGGAGATTTTTGAGGAAGGGAAGTGCCCCCCCCCCCGCCCCCCAGCTGTGATCAGGGGGCTGTGAGAGGTAGAAGAGGTGGATGCATTCATTCCACCCACTGGTGCAGAGATACCTACTGTGTGCGAGGTGCAGGAAATACAAAGATAAGAACTCTGGTCCTGTATCCAGGGGCGCCGGTGTCATGGGGGTGGGGAGTGGAGGGGAGTAAATTAGTGATTACAATGGAGTGGATGAGTGTGCTGATGGAGTGCAGCAGGTTGCTATGGGAGCGAGGACACGCGGCTCTCAGAAGGCAGTAATTACGGTGCGGCTGAAGAGCAGGCGAGGGGGGGACCGGGAGGGGAAGGGGGCCCCCGATTGGCGATGAGGCCCGACCAGATCACAAAGGGCATCCTCTGCTGGGTGATGAGGTCGAGATTTTATCCCCAAAATCGTGGGGGAGCCATCGGAGGGCTCTGACATGATCAGATTTGCATTTAAGAAAAATCCCTCTGACAGTGACAATGTTGAGTTGGGGACAGGAGCAGGGAGAGACTGACAGGAAGGAGGGTGCTGAGGAAATTGCAGTGGGCCAGGCAAGAAATTATCTGATTCCGAGTGAGCTCTATTTGCATTTAATTTTTCTTCACCTCCCCCTTTTTTTCAGCCCTTTGGTTTTGGTGTAGTTTTTTTTTTTTTCTCTCTCTAGGATGAGTCACCATGGAAAAGCTTCACTTGAGCAATCAGCTCTGTGGATTTTAATGGCTTTTTTCTGATTACAAAATTAATAAATATTCATGTTAGATAATTTGGAAAATAGGGGAAAGCACAAAGGAGAAAACAAAAACCACCCGTGCTCTGAGCATCTAGAGCAAAACACAGTTTAGGGTATTGCCAATCCCCCCCCAACACCGGATCATTCTCATTAGCATACAAATATAGAGTTATTTCTTCCGCCCTAAAAAAAATCTACTCTTGATCCCTTCCCTCCACCTCCAGCTATCTATCACCCCATTTCTCTGCTTCCCCATACAGCAAAACTCCTGGAAATATGGGCTATACTTGCCATCTCCATCCCTCTCTTTGGGCAGACCGTCCACCCCTCATGTCACCAAAACTGTGTCATCACCCACAGCTCCTAGGTCCACCTCAGTGGTCAACTTTGAGTGCCCTTTGTTCTTTCACCTTTCAGCACAACTGGTCACACTCTCCTCTTTTGAAACATGTCCTGTCTTGGCTTCCAGGACACTGCCCTCTCTTGTCTTACCCATCTTACTGGCTGCTCCTTTTCATGTTGTTTTCCTGTTTCCCAGCTCTGTCCTTTGACCTCTCTTCTATCCCTTCATCCAGGGTCATGGTGTTGAATACCTTCAGCCCCCTGAATATTCCCATACTTAGAGCTCCAGCCTGACTCCTACATTCAACCTGAACCCTAGACTCCTATATCCCACCACCTCCTCCGCATTACCACCTGCATGCTTAGCTAATGGGCATCTCAGACTTTACTGTTCCAAACTGAGTGCCACCCCTGCCCAACCCGCTCCTCCACAGCCTTCTCCGTCTCAGGAAATGGCAACGCCAATCCTTCTGGTCACTCAGACAAGAAGCCTGGAGTCATCCTTAACTCCTTTCTCATATCCCACATTCAGTTCGTCAGCAAATCCCATCAGCTCTCCCTTTAAAATGTATCTGACCCATCTAAAACTAATGATGTAATGTATGGGGATTAACATAACAATAAAAAATTTAAAAAAATGTATCTGACCATTCTATGCTGCCACCCCAGGCCAGTGCGCCATCAGCCCCACCCCTGGATTATTCCAGGAGTTTTCTACTGCTCTTCCCAACTCCACCCTTGCCTCCTTGTTGCCCAGTCTCAAACCAGCATTCAGAGGGGTCCTTTAAAATTATTAGTATTACATATTATATTCAATGATGTCACTTCTCTGCCTAAAACCCTTAATGACGTCCCAACTCAGAGTAAAAGCCAAAGTCCTTAAAATGGCTACAAGGCGCCACATGATCTATGCCCCACTCCCACATCACCGACTGCTCCCCCTTGCTCACTCTGCTCCAGGCACCTGGACCTCCTTAATGTTCCTTGAACTTACCTGACCCGTTCCTGGCTCAGAGCCCTTGACTAGATTCATACCTCAGGGCCCTTTGCCCTTCCTGGTCCTTACGACTGGAATGCTGTTTCTGCAGGTATCTGCATGACCTATTCCCTCACTGCTTTCAAAACCTTATTCACAGGTCACCTTTTCACCTTGTTTTAAGTAGTACCCTTCTCCTACATTCCCCAATTCCCTCCCTCCTTCCACTGCCTCACTTTTCTCCTTGGCACTTACCACCTTCTAATATCCTATCTAATTTATGTAATTATGCTGCTTATTGTCTGTCTCCCCTGCCAGACTGTAAGCTCCAGGAAGGCAGGCAGTTTTGTTTCCTCGGCTGCCATATCTTTAGTACCCAGTGTGTGCTCAACAAACACCTGTTCCCTGAAAAGAAGACATAAAAAGTGGCCATGACGGTGGCTGGGGTGGGGTTGGGCAGCAGCTCTTAAAAGCGGAGGAGGCCAGGCACGGATGAGCAGGAGAAGGCAAGGGGGGAAAGCAGCAGTCATGGGCAAGGGCCTGAGGGAGAGGCAGCGGGCAGGGAGAGAAGGCCTGGCCCTTCTCTTGGTCCTGGAAGGCGGGCCTTTGCTGACTGACCCTTAATGGGGGCCATCTGCCATCCAAGTCCTCCAGATACCACTTCTCTCTGGAGGACTCCAGAGTTCCTGGTCATGCCTGGTAATGACTGTTCCACCACAGAGTCCGGCAGTCGCCCCCCAGAACGACTATTGCCCCGCCTTCTTCCTCCTGCTCCTCATAGCTGAGTGTTAGGCAACGGTTCAAGCACTTTACACCTATTAACCCTTCTAATCCTCACGAGAACGCTCCAAAGAATGTTCTCAAGCGTGTGATAACATGACCCCCGCTTTATGAAGGCACACAGAGATTAATACTTTGGTAAACCGAGGCACAGAGAGATGAGCGACTTGCCCGTCCGTGATGGCGTCAGGATTTAACCTGACACAATCTGGCTACAGGCCCTGTACTCTCTCTGCTCTTGTGCCATCTGCGGCCTCAGCAGTTGCCCTTGTTGTTGGCGTGGGTGGATTTAACTTTGCCTTTTGGGCAGTGGGGCCACCACTCAGCCTTGAGCTCGGAGGGGGTCCATTCGGAGAACCCCAGATCTGTAGCCACCGCCATGGAGGCACGGACTGCGGTTGCGACCCGCCTTGAAGTGGCCTGCAAGAGAAGGGCAGGGGCATATGAGGAGAGGGGGCTGCCACTGTCACAGTGGGGGGTGGCTGCGGGGTGGGGGTCGGGGGTGAGACGCTCCCCGTCCGCTGTTACCCGGAGCCGCGTCCATTTTGCGTCTGTGGTTGGAGTTCAGCCGCCGAGTGCTGGTTCCCTTCAGGCGTCAACCTCACCTTTCCGGGGCCTCCCTCGGCCTCCTGCCCCCCTCCGTCCTGGAGGTGCTGTTCTCTGCTCAGTGTTCCCATCCTTCCTTACCCCTGTCGTAAATTAATTCACACCAAGGTATTACTTTCCTTGTCAGGTTATGGCTTCCAGGGAGGCAAATGGCTTACTTGTGAGCTGTTTCTTTTTCTCTCTGAGAAGCCTGCCAGGGCTGTAATTAGGCTTCCCTGAGCCCGTGGCAAGACTGCATTCTTAGTTCTCCCGTCTCCTTCCCTCGGCCCTGTGAAGGGAGCAAACATCTGTGTAGTTTTCAGGCCAGGGTACATTAGTGTTCTTGGAACTGGGGCCCAGCTGTGAGGGCTGAGCATTCCCCATCTGTAAGCGGGTCTTGTCTCCATTCACAAGGCTGTGAGGGTGTTTGGAAAGTTATTTGCAGTTCGGTGCTGATTTCCCATTTGCCCCCAAGCTGTTCTGTGGAGCAAAGAACAGCCTCGTGGGAGCTGTGTCCCTGTGGGCATCCCTGGGGGTCTGTGGGAAGAGCTGGGTCCTCTGGTCCTGTCTTCCCAATTTCGCCTCCCTGTCTTCCACCCTCGCACTGCCTCAGGCCCTCCACCGGTTCCCTAGGCATTCGGGTGTGCGGACCCTTCTCTCCTGTGGGGCCAGAGGGGGACTTCCGGGTGCACCAACCCAGCCTGCTTGCTCCCCTGCAGCCGCTCTCCAGAGCTGGTCACGCCCGGCCCAGAGTGACATCAGGGCACGCATTGGTCATGGTGGGCTGCTGAGATTTCCGTTGGGTTCCTGGGAGAAGACAAGTCCCTTTTGTTAGAGCTTCCCAGGGTGGTGCCTGGTTAACCAGATCAAGGCTCGTCCAGCCTTCCCTCACTCCACCAGTAATCCCAGCTTTGCCCAAGGAGGAATGTGCCCAGCCCAGCCAGTTTGGCCAGAAGACATTGCAGTCACCATTGCCTAACATGCAGTCGGTGCTCAAAAAGAAAAGAAAATGAGGTCCAGGCATTGCTCTCCAGTCCTACTTTTAAATTTGCGAATTTGAGGGTTGTGAGCAAGCTGACTGGGGCGGGGTGGGGGGGACGGCAGGTGGTCACTGGGCGGTGGCCTCGTCTGCAGCAGGGATGGTGGAGGCCAGAGTCCATGGCTGCTCCTTTATTTTGGCCACTAGGGGTTTTTATTTTTGTTTTAGTATTATTTATTCATTTAGAAGATCATATGTATTTTAGTATAAGCATGTTGCCAAAATGTAAAAATAGAGAAAATTTAAAAATGGCTTAAAATCATAATCTTTCTATTCTAACAGGCATTGTTTACATTTTGGTATTTTTTGACATTTTAGTGTCATGTTTTCCTGTGCTCGGGGTATTGCTTTTTTCATTATTTTAAAACACCTCTTAATTGCAAGAGTAGTATGATGGACTTTTTATCTGTTGTTAACATTTTACACATTTGCTTTTGCTTGCTCTCTCTGTAAACACACACACACACACACACACAGAGATAAGCATACAGTTGACCCTTGAACAACATAGGTTTAAACTGTGTGGGAATACATGAATTTTTTTTTATATAAATACAGTACAATACTGTAAATGTATTTTCTCTTCCTTATGATTTCTGTTTTAGAAAGGTTTTATTTCTTTATTTTGAGAGAGAGAGAACACAACTGGAGGCAGAGGGAGAGAGAGAATCTTAAGCAGACTCCGCCCTGAACATGGAGCCCAATACCGGGCTTGGTCTCATGACCCCAGGGTCATGACCTGAGCCAAAATCAAAAGTTGGATGCTTTTTTTTTTTTAACTTATTTATTTGACAGAGACACAGCGAGAGAGGGAACACAGCAGGGGGAGTGGGAGAAGGAGAAGCAGGCTTCCCACTGAGCAGAGAGCCCGATGCGGGGCTCGATCCCAGGACCCTGGGATCATGACCTGAGCCGAAGGCAGACGCTTAACAGCTGAGCCACCCAGGCGCCCCCCAAAGAGTCGGATGCTTAGTGGACTTAGCTACCCAGGAACCCTCCTTGTGATTTTTTCTTTCTTTTTTTTTTTTTTAAGATTTTATTTATTTATTTGACAGAGAGAGGGAGAGAGCAAGTACAAGCAGGGGGAGAGGCAGAGGGAGGGGAGAAGCAGGCTCCCCTCAGAGCAAGGAGCCCAATGTGGGACTTGATATCAGGACCCTGGGATCATGACCTGAGCCGAAGGCAGGGGCTAAACTGACTGAGCCACCCAGACACCCTCCTTATGATTTTCTTAATAACATTTTCTTTTCTCTAGCTTTTTTTATTGTAAGAATACAGTATATAATACATATAACATACAAAATAATGTGTTAATCATCTGTTTATGTTACTGGTAAGGTTTCTGGTTAACAGTAGGCTATTAGTAGTTAAGTTTTTGGGGAGTCAAAAGTTATGTGTGGATTTTCAACTGTGTGGGGGTCGGTGCCCCTAATCCTCTCATTGTTCAAGGGTCAACTCTATATTCCTGTAGATATGTTTATCTATGTGTGTGCATATATATGTCTATCATGCATATTATAAATAACATATGTGTTTATTATTCTTATTAGCCTTAGGGTTTTGATAGCTAGCCAGCCTTAAGGAACCCAAGGCTAGGAATAGGGTATCTGGGTTCTTACCTCACCTCTGCCCCTTATTGGCTTTGCCACTGAGTCCCTTCACCTCTCCAAATCTGCTTTATCTCTAAAACACGAATACTTAATTCCTACCCTGTCATTTGGTCATCTGACCGGATCAACTGAGATAATGAGGATAGGGATGCCTGGTAAACTAAAAGGATGCTTTGGCCTGAAGCAAGGCATCACCAAGACTTACTGGGTCGCAGAGCTCAAACCGGGGTGACTCTGGGGGGAGGTCTTCAGCCTTCACAGCTGAGAGGCCCAGGCACTTGCCATGCTGCAAGTCAGCGCAGAATCCTGGGGTGTCTCTGTCCAATATAAGGGTATGAGCTTGAGGTGAAGGGCACCTGCCCACCTCACTGAGTCCCAAGCTGGGAAAAGTGTCCCAGAACGATGTAGGAGGGCAATCCAATCCAAGTACGTGCCCTCCCTGTGGTCAGTGGGAAGGAGCACGCGGGGACTGAGTACCAACTCCAAATGATACCCAAGCACATTGCTTTTGGCTCACCTATACTCATGTTTGAGAGGCAGTTGAGAAGGTGAGTAAAAGACCATTGGCACATTAATCCCATAATTATTTGGCCCTGCTTAGTCCACAGCTGGCTTTCCAGATGGCCTGGACATCACTTGTTAGGCTACTTCCTGTGGGTAGAGTGGCTGTTGTGGGTCAGGGGAGCCCTCTGCTCCTCCAGGAGTACATGGTTCAGCTTGGGCCTTGACTCAGCAGTGTTCCTGGAGGACCAGTAGATCATGAGCACTTTTCTAAAACACTTTCATATCCATGATTACATTTATCCTATGATATGGGCAAGGCAGGTTCTCACTGTCCCAATGTTCATGCTGATGAAACTGAGGCCAAGGCCTCACAGCAAGTTGGCGGCAGACTTGGAACACAGCTCTCCGGACTCCTCACCCTGTGCTCACTTGGGAAATGGCGGCACGAATGCTGGCTTGCCAAGCAGTCACCTAGCAACCGGCGTCTCCTTCCGTTGTGCAGCTCACACTCACGGTGGCTCGCTCTCCTGTGTTGGTGCTGTCTTTGTGCCCAGCCAGCTGAGGCAGGGCTCAGGGAAGGCGGGCCTGGCCCTGTCCTCCCCTTCCCTTCCAGTGTGTGCCCTTGTCTCCTAGGTGCTGCTGGATGAGGAGAGAGAAGCCATGGCGAAGTCCCGCCGGCTGGAGCGCAGCACCAGTAGCTTCAGCTACTCCTCTTACCACACCCTGGAGGAGGTAGGTCTGCCCAGTCAAGCTCTGGGCTCTGTTGTCCCTTTGGGCTCCCTGGGTCTCCAGACTCGGGCAGAGATTGATCAAAGACTGAGGTCTGTGGGAGAGTGTGAGCCGACACTGGGGGAGTGCAGAGCAGACACTGGGTGAAAGCCTGTCAGAAAGAGTCAGCTTCCAAGAAGTCCAGAAGCGAGGACTCAGAGAGAACTGTGGCTCAACAGTGCCGCCTGGGGCAGGTACAGGACAGAGTAATGGGCCTGCTAGGCAGGACGCTGAGGTAGGGACACGTCACTGGCAGGTGGTGTTGTCTCCATAGCCAACACTGGGGCTGGGGTTTCAGGGGTCTCGACCTCTCCACAAGCATTTCTGGTGTCAAGGGGCCCCAGCTGTGGGTGCCAGGGTGTAGCAGGAGCAGGAAGCCAGGCACGTTGGAGAGCCACTTGGTAGAGTAGAACAGAGTTGCCTCGGTTGGAGGAAATGCTTGATCACAGTGACAGCCAGCTAGGGCAGGCGTGACCAGCTGTGACTTGTTTATAAAGAACACAGAGACACCCAGTCCAGAAAGAAACTCAAGGCTCAGGTCCCATTCTCTTTCTTTTTTTTTTTTAATTAAGATTTTATTTATTTGAGAGAGAGAATGAGAGAGAGCACATGAGAAGGGGGACGGTCAGAGGGAGAAACAGACTCCCTGCTGAGCAGGGAGTCCGATGCGGGACTCGATCCTGGAACTCCAGGATCATGACCTGAGCCGAAGGCAGTTGCTTAACCAATTGAGCCACCCAGGCGCCCTGAGGTCCCATTTTCATGTAAAGGACGTGGTGATTTTGGTATTGTCCACTCTATGATTGTCATTATTACTCTCCCTGTTTCACAAGGCCTGTAATAGAAGATCCATTTTTTTCCCATATATTTGGTAATTCAGTTATATACATTGATAGAGGAAGGGAAGGGATTAATATGGTCTGTCAGTGTGTATTGGTAGATCATGAGCACTTTTCTAAAACACTTTCATATCCATGATTACATTCAGAGGGCTTAGAATCTAAAAGGGCCGAGAAGACCGTAACAGCACTGCAGGGTCTGTGGGGTCTGTCAGATGGACTCAGTGGGCCAAGCGAATGGAAGCGAGAGAAACTTCCACCCCGCGAGAGCCTTGCAGGCTGACCCTGGGGACTGAGTGGGTGATCATGCGCGAAGGCTTAGCTCTGGGTGTGGTGAGTGGCCTTCGAATCCAGGCCGACCGCAGCTCATTGCCTTGGGCCTGGTGGGTGTCTTTGATTTGGGCAGTTCTCCATCTGGGTTCTTTTAGATCCTCAAGGGAAGTGGGAAAGCATTCAGCAGGGCGGGATGGGGGAGGGAGAATATCCGGGGAGACCCTGGGGTTTGCCCCTCCCTGCCTAAGTGCCCGTCTGATAGATGTCATTCCTTGCAGATATATAGCTGGATGGACAACTTTGTAACTGAGTATTCAGATATTGTCTCAAAAATTCGGATTGGCCACAGCTTTGAAAATCGGTCCATTCTTGTCCTGAAGGTAAGAGCTGGTGGTGTTGACCACTAGACTCTACAGTGAGAGCCTCCGGCATGAGGTTGAACTCATGTGGGGTCATGGCTGGGTGGGAGTTGTAGGGACATAGAAGATGTATATCCTCCTGCCCCGAGGTGACCCACAGCTCTGGGGTTGTGGTGTTCAGGGCCCCACCCTTGTAGGTATGGGCAGGCGACCGTGCAATGACCTGGCATATCCTCAGTCAGGAAGTAGGTGGGAGGTTTGCAAAGGAGATGGAACTGCAGGGTGGCGGTCATGTCACGCTGGTCTTGGGATGTGAATGTGGGGGAGCCGGCTTTCTCCCTATTCCCTTGGTTGCTTCATCTGTTGAATGGGAAGAGAGGTAAATAGAGGCCTCATTTCCAAATGACTGAGGTCATCTGGCTCAGGCAGCCCCTCAGATAGGCCTGAGTCTGTGGGGAGACCTCCCAGCCCTTCCCAGTGGCCGCTGGAAACAGAGTTTGAGCAAAGTTGGCAGCCGTAATGCCCTTGGTCATGAGCGGAGGCAGGATAGGTAGGAGTGTGAAGCCCCCCCACCACCCCCGCTGAAAACAATTCTTAGCATGTGCCCTAAAGGGCACTTAGGAGGTTGGACCCCATAGGGCCCCTGACACCCAGCTCTCAGAGCAGACGAGCACTGTTGCCCTCAACCCTGCCCTGGGGGACTCTTCCAAAGGGCCGAGTGTCCTCCTCTCCCTTGGGATGTGACCTCCTCTATCCCTGCCTTGATTTCCCCCGGGGGCTGTGCGTGTTCTCCCTTTAATGTTGTCTGAGACCTTACTACACAAAGTGTGGTCCTGGCACCTGCAGCAGCATCCCCAGGAGCTTGGCAGAAATGCCCAACCCTGGACCCCTCCCTACACCTGCTGACAGAGAGTTTGCATGGTAGTGAGATCCTGGGGGATTCATGTGCCCTTTAAAGTTTGAGAAACACTAGTCGAAGGAAGCTCTGTGCTTCTGGCTGGATCACTCGGCTCCCCACGTGCACGTGCCCCACTGCGTCCCAGGGCCCCCACACTTCGTGGACTCGCACAAGTACCTGCGCATTCAGTCCCCCTCCTGGGCCCAGAGCGCCACCCCAGGCGGTGCGGAGACCTCTGGGGCCTGCTCCTGGGAGCCTAGGGACAGCCCTGCAGCTGTCTCAGTTCAAACTTGTTTGGGACCTTGTGCTTTTACCCAGTTCAGCACTGGAGGTTCTCAGCGCCGGGCCATCTGGATCGACACTGGAATCCACTCCCGGGAGTGGATCACCCACGCCACTGGCATCTGGACTGCCAAGAAGGTCAGCGCAGACGATGGGGGTGGGGCAGGGGTGGGGACTACTTGACTATTTCGGGGTGTCTCCAGTTGAAAATTTATACTGGGTTTGTTTAAACGTAGAGGCTCCCTCCCCTCCTGTCCTTTGGAACAGTTGCTGTGAGCTCTGCCCTTCTTAGCACAGCGCCCACACCCAGCCTCTGCCTCCTGGTTGTTTAAAATCCAAGCCTTTCATTCTGCACAAAGAATGTATCTGACGGCTTGATGGCCACCCCTGCCTGCAGCCCCTGGCTGTGCAAATGCCCTGACCCACCTTAGAGCAGAGCCCGGCAGCGCCTCCCATCCCTCCCAACCCTCCCCCGGCCCCACTCTGCCCTCCCTTGCAGATTGTCAGTGAATATGGCAAAGACAGCACCCTGACAAACATACTGAACGCCATGGACATCTTCATGGAGATTGTCACCAACCCTGATGGCTTTGCATTTACCCACAGCATGGTGAGGGCATTTGGGAGGGAGGGAGAGGGGTAAGGGTCAGGGTCACCTCTGCGGAGGGAGGGGGGTCGCGGATGCAGGAAAGGTCGCTGCAGCTTTGGGAAGCTGAGCTGAGGTTCCCTGGGGGCTGGCGGGTGGCTCGGGTCAGCTATGGCTCTTGCCCTTCCACCCCTGTCCTGCTACCCCGGAAGGCCACTGCCGGCAGCCTGCGCCTGTCCTCGGGCCTCTCCCCACATCCTGGCTTTAGCCACAAGGTGATCTGCCGTCCTGGCCCATCCTCATGCCAGCCGCAGCCTGCCCTAGAGATCCTTCCTTTTGCCACTCTCTGTCCCGCCAGACCCGCCTTCCTAGGCCGGGATGTCAGAGGCTCCCACCCCCGGGGAAGGGGTGAATTTCACCTGCCCTGGGCTTTTTCAGAACCGCCTGTGGCGGAAGAACAAGTCCACCAGACCTGGAATCTTCTGCATTGGCGTGGATCTTAACAGGAACTGGAAGTCAGGCTTTGGAGGTATGGCAGTCTGCTGGACTTGGGGGCAGGGCGGGAGGAGGACTTGGTCCTTGGCACGTCTCCCACACAGTCAGGTTATGTGGACGCATACCTCGGGAAACGGGGTAGTTAGCTAATGCCAGTGAGTCATGGCCGGGGACCGGCAAGCACATGCCTGGGATTGGCTGTGCGATACGGGGAGAGGCTGCGCATGCGTGGTCAGCATATGCATATGTGCGGGCTCCGTGGGAAACACGGGAACACGCTACTTGCACGGGGAGCGGACTGCGGGGGCCAAATCCTAAACATGGGAGGGGAAGGTACAGATAGTCTTTGGGTTGTACCTTCAAGAGACACAAGATGGGCTTGCTGGTTGCTCAAAACTCAGTTTTTATGCCCCCCCCCCCCCCAAATCGCTCTAGCCCTTGTAGGGAGCCCACCAAAAGAAAATGCCTCCAAACTCATTTCCTGAGAGCCAGGACCTGAAATTTGCCCTTTGGGGAGGCCAGAACAATAGTTTTAATATAGAATAAGCCACTTTCTTATCATCAACTCTGACTTGAGCCTGATTTTTATTTTTTGACTTAGTTGCTTTGTAATCCTGGGCTGATGGGCTGGTGCATGTGTGCAGGGTCATATTGTTCTAGGCAGAGGTGGGCAGCTTCCTCCCAAGTTCCTTGGTGTTATTCCGGATTATCTCCCTTACCATACCAGGAGAATAGGGACTAGATGGGGAAACTGAGGCCTCCAGAAAACCTAGAGACCATTATGTGGATCCTGGGAATGCAGCAATTTGTTGGGTGGGATGCTAGGTCTAGCCAGGACAGGTTGCATGGGCCCAGCCTTCAGGCTCCAGATGTGGCACCCACTATACTGGGGTGGGGTGGGGTGGGGGGTCGGAGTTTGGCTCCAAGGAGACAGTGTCATTGCTATTGAAAAGCAGATCCACAGATGGGAGGCCAAACCAATGAGATAGAACATTCTAGATCTTCCCATCACTTTGAAAATCTGGCTTCTTTCAGTTGGTTCTCATTGAAAAAATCAGCATCTGAAGCATCCAGAGCAAGGCTCTCAGCCCATGGTGTGTGTGTGGGGGGGTTGTCTGAGAATCTGGTGCTGTGTGTGTAGCTGCTTGTGTAAGGGAACACAACCATGTAAAAATGGGTGTTTTCACCTCCAAATGACCAGACACTTGCCCCGAGTGGGCATCCATGTGGGCCCTTCGGAACCGGCTGAAGCGAGTGCCCACGGACCCCAAGATAAACTGGCTAGCAGAAAGACAAATCATCTCTTAAGGAAAATAACTTTTGTGTGTTTCCCCACAGGGGGCAGGAGGGGGGAGGAATCAGTATATACACAATATAAAAAAAAATGTATGGGGAAAAAAAAAAAGCCCAGAGGGGACAAAAAACTCCCATAATCCCACTACCCAAAGATTACTGCTTTTAATAATTTACCATGTCCTTCCAGAGATTTCCCTTTGCTACAAATTACAGTTTCAGAGAAGGAAAAATAAATAGCTAATGAATCCATTCGCAGGTGCTTGTGACACAGGCAGGCTCAGCGGACTTGGCCTGTGAACGTCAGAGAGAGGCAGGCAGCTAATTCCCATTTGGTCCGGGGAAGATTAGTTTATGCTGCTTAGCTCAAACCAGAACTAATGGTCTGAAGTGTTTCTCCATATTTGGGCAAAGCCACCTGGTCGTTGGCAGGGGAACCGCTTTCCCTGCGTGGGCTGCAAACGCAGACAAAGCTCTCAGCCTCCCCCGCTCTGCTCATCTGTTGCTGTTTGTCATTCATCAAGTGGAGCAGGTGCAGAAGCTCCCGGCAGACACAACAAACAGGGCCACTGTCCAGCCTGTGGGGCTGCTCCTCACCCTCGCTTCCTGCAGACACATCCCCTTCTAGCCCGGGTCCCTACCCCAGGCGGGACCCAGCAGACCAAGGGGGGACGCACTCCCCGGTGACAGAACCGCCTCTGGGCCTGCCTGCGGACAGAAATAGCGTGTGCCTGGGTTGGTGACTCAGGCGGGAAGATTTTGTTGATGGTTTTATCATTGCCTTAATTTAATTGCTGCATAATGAGTCATCTGTAGACCATCCCTCCCACTCATGCTGCCCTCACCTGCACTCCCCGGAGAGCACTGGTTTGCTCCAAGCCTAGCGCAGCATCTCAACTAGTCCCTGGGCCAGCCCCCCAGCCCTCCAGCCAGCGCACTGCCCTGAGGGTCTAGGGGAGCACTCTGGCATCCTCCGGAGGCTTCAGAAGTTGGGGTGACCCCTGACCTTGGCCTCAGGCTTGTTTGCAGTCATTTCAGGGCGGAATGAGAGGAGGAACTGGGATGGCTCTTTCCAAATGTGTTCCTAACCCACAAATCTTGACCAGCCCACAGCCCAGCCCTCCATGACATGGCCCTTGGGGAAGGGAAGAAGACACAAGAGGAGGGTAAGAGGAAGGAAAGAGATGGAGAGCAAAGAATCTAGGAGATGGGAACCAATTAAATTTGTGAACAAAATAGAAGTTCAGCTCCTCTCCCCTAACTGAGGTCCCCAAGAAGAATTGTCAAAGGCTCTTTACATCTGTGGCTCCCAGACCAGTCTCAGGCAGCTATGGGGCTCTATTCTCTCTTTTCCTGGCCCCAAGTCCATGTTGCTTCTGGAGCCACGGTTGTGGCAAAGCTTGAGCAGATACTCAGTCTGAGCACTCAACTGACCCAAGCCTTCGGCATGGCAGTGGACAGTCGGCAGAGAGGGGTCAGCTCGAAGGGGTCGCCGCTTGTCGGGGAAGCCAGGGTTGGAGACCTAGAGTTTCCTCTGAAGGCAGTCCCACTTTTCTAAGTCCTTGGTCAGGACTTAAGCAAAGGACAAGCCAAGGGAGCTCTCTAGAAGGCCCACAGAGTTGCTGAGTCATGGTGTGAATGCACTCCTCTGATGTATTAGACTAGGGTGTGCAGCAGTGATAAATGCCATCCAAATCTCAGTGGCTGAACACAGTAAAAGTTTATTTTTCAGGCACACGAAGTCCAACGTGGGTAGGTGACTCTCCTTGGCAGCTTCCTCCCGACTGTGACAGAGGGATCCAGAATGCTTCCTCCATCTAGAGTTTTTTGCTCCCAACCACATAGACAGAAGAGACTGTGGAGAAGTCATGCCTGCTCTTAACAGCCTCAAACTAGAAGTGACCCATCATTACTGCTCACATTCTCATTGGTCAGAAGTAGTCACATGACCTCAAACAAACTGCAAAGGAGGCTGGGAGATGTAGAGGAATACCTGGATATCTTGTGAGCGTTAAGTGTCTTTCCCAAACCTGGCAATTCGGACCCTCTGGATGGTTTTATTTTTCTTCCAGGGAATGGTTCTAATGACAACCCCTGCTCAGAGACTTATCGTGGGCCCTCCCCTCAGTCGGAGCCAGAGGTGGCGGCCATTGTGGACTTCATCACTGCCCATGGGAACATCAAGGCTCTGATCTCCATTCACAGCTACTCTCAGATGCTCATGTACCCTTATGGCCACTCACTGGAGCCGGTTCCAAACCAGAAGGAGTTGGTGAGATTGGCTGCTTGGGGCTTGGGGGAGGCATCAGGCAGACCGCCAGAGGTTCAGGCCCTCACTCTGAAACAAGGGTCTGGACCAGTTGAGCCCGTGGTGGGGACGAGGGGGAGAGCTGCTTGTTCTCACATGTGGTCAAGTTCAAAGCCAGAGGGGCTGTGCTCCCTTCTCGTGAGAGCCATCTGCACATTCAACTTCTGGGTTTCTCAGCGGCTGATGAGGGTGTGGGAGCGTGGGGAGCCCCAGCCTCTCACCCTCTGCATGCAATCTCTCAGTACAGTCTTGCCAAGGACGCAGCGCAGGCCCTGTATGAGGTCCACGGGGTCGAGTACATTTGTGGCAGCATCAGCAGCACCCTCTGTGAGTGGGCCTTCCCCGGGTGCTGCTCTAGGCCCCACATCCACCTGGGGTCGGGCAGGTGCAGGCTGTTTGCCGACTGGCAGGGCGGGTTGGCCACAGGGCAGTGCCGTAGATCTAACTGAGCGCGGTCAGAGCTGCCGTCCGCATCTGCGTAGAGGGGTGAGTGGTGGTCCCCAGAAACAGGCCGCTCTTTCTTTGCAGCATTAATTAATGCCTGGTTCCCTCTGTCTGGCTTACTGTGGTGTTCCTTGAAGGAGAAGATCCTTCTTGAAGGAACGCTCCTTGGTGGTCTCAAGGAGCTTTTTTTTTTTTGCTGGGGCAGAGAATGGGGGGGGCAGGGTGTGGCCCCCAGGTTGACGCCGGGGTCAGAGGGCGTGGTGTTGTCTGCGGTGAGTTGGGGCTTGGCCCCCAGGGCCCACTGTCCACTCAGGATACTTCTGCACCTTAGGACCATGCCCTGCTCTTTCTTCGGGGCCTTTCTTTGCCCTTTTATATCCAGATGTGGCCAGCGGGATCACTGTCGACTGGGCCTATGACAGTGGCATCAAGTACTCCTTCACCTTCGAGCTCCGGGACACGGGGCGCTATGGCTTCCTGCTGCCGGCCTCCCAGATCGTCCCCACGGCCCACGAGACGTGGCTGGCGCTTCGCGCCATCATGCAGCACACCCTCAATCACCCCTACTAGCAACACCATCAGGGCAGAGCAGGAGCGTTCGTTCCCTCCCCCAAGGCCTGGGCTCCTCCCGAAACCCAAGTGGTACATCGTCCTCCCCACACCCTTCCCCTGACCCCTTAGGAAATAAACAACACGTTTGAACAGGCTTGGGGGCCTCTGGGGCTTCGGGCTCAGCACTGAGGGGACAGGGGCGGCTTGAAATGCCTCTTCAGGCCTCAGGAATTCAGGAGGATCAGGGGCCGAGCAGCCCTTGTATCTCGTCCTCTTGCAGCGTCCTCCAGGCCCAGAGCAGATAACTCACTCTCTGGGAAGCTACTGGATACAGATTGTCCCCTTGGCGTTTACATTCTGAGATGATCCGGAAGGCACAGTGTCTGATCAGAAGGAGGGGGGCCCCAGTGGTGGCATCTCCGGCAGCCCGAGGGAGAGGTGGGTACGGACAGGCAGCTTCCTTCTCTGCCTGCTTCATTCCCATGCTGTGTAGCGGGGAGGGCCACATCTCCGAGGCCGCGGCTTGGAGGATCCCATTCGCCCGCTAAAGGAAGGTGAACACCCTCAAGGTCTCCCCTGGTCTGGGGAGCAGGGTCGCAAGCCAGTCAGAGCCGGCACAGCAAAGCGCCACCCACCCAGGGAGAGGAAATCCTCTTTCCCCCTTCTCTTCACCCATGGTCACCATGCTTGTCAGGCACTGAGCAGGGAGTCCGGGCCGGGCATTTGCTAAGCAAGCACTTTATCTAAGGGAGAGAAAGGGACGATATTTTGAGATACAAATGAGGTGCCCCCACCCCATCCTGAGGCTTCCTTACAGCTTTGCCTTCCTCCACCACTGGGGAGCAGGGATAAGGGGTCTCTCTGTCCTGCCCCCAGGGGAAGGCAGGTCCTCTGAAGAAGCAAGCAGGCCACTGAAGAGCTGAAAGGGTCTGTGTAATTCTGAGGCAGAAAACAAGACTTCCACGGGCAAGGGCCAGACTTTTGTTGTTTTTGTCACAAAAGAAAAGGGTTGTGGGACCCGTGATTTGGCCCCTGCAGGACACGGGGTTTTACTATAAATCACAGATATGGAAGAAAGCAGGGGGAAATGAGAACAAGTCCCCCTTTCTACGCGCCCTGTAAAAGAAGACAGAGGCTGAATCAGTGGGAGGTGGGTATCAGCGGGGATCAAAACTCTAGGTGAGGCCCATGTCCAACATGGCAACTGAGCAGCAGATGAACAAGGGCTGAGCAAGGGGTCTAGAAAGCTGATTAAAACGTATCCATGGGTGTACCCATATGGCCGCGTTCACCTGAGCAGTGCAGCTACTGGGAGCTCTGAAAAAAGAAATGGGGAGGAGGCCTGGGGTAGAGGCAAGAAGGCTAAGCCCGGGGGCCACGGAGGCACCGTGGCCAGGGGCTGTCTGTGCGCAGGAGCAGCTGTGCCATGAGGAGGCCTGAGGAAGTCAGGGTAAAGAACACCTGAAGAACCCAGATCATCTCCAGGGGAAGAGCCAACAGCGGGGGAGGAGAGCATCCCCACTGGGGCCGCAGTTCCTCAAGAGAGGCGGAAATTTTTTTTAAGCTGGAAGTGATTTGAGCGAGCTAGAATTTCCAAGCTAACGTCTTCTGCTATTAGTGGAAATATGAGGCCACGGGCTGAATTAGCATAAGCTATAGACAAATAAAGCAAGTTATACCTTGCACACTGGAGTCTGTGATTATAACTTTTGTACCCTCTGCGCAAATATTTTCATTTCATCCTCTTGGGGCGGATACTACCATTATTAATAAGCTTGTATTTCAGACGAGGAAAGCACGATCATGATTTGGAGAGGTTTTAAAGGCCACATGAGGCCACATGGATGGGAAGTGGTTGAGGGAGATTTGAACTTGGGTGTGTCTAACTCCCCAAACTACCATGTCGCCATTTGTCCAAGTGTGACGTGTGACCACACCTGTAGCAGAGTCCATGGGGAGTTGTTTAATGTGAAGGTAGTTGTGTTCCATTGGGGTGTACCCCCTGAATCTGTATTTTTACCGTCTGCCCCAGGAGTTGTGAGGTCCCCTAAAGGCTGAGAACCACCTGCTCTCCTGCCTCCCAGAAGAACACATTTGAGTCTTCCCGGGGAAGTTGGGGCTCAGCATCTCCACCCTCTGCCATTATCCGTTAGAGCTGAAGGTGGTTACAACAGCGGGAGGCTGGTCATCCTTCTCCAAGATGTTCCCAAGGGGCTGCCGTGGCCCTCACCTCAAGCAGTGTGGTCTGGAGACCACAGGCATCAACACAAAGTCTGGAAATACAAATTCTCAGGCCACCCCAGACCTACTGAACCCAAATCTCTGGGGATGGGACCCAGGTGATGCTCATGCCACGCTGGAGAGGCGTTGCCCTCGAGGCAGGAGTATCTGGACCCTGAGGGGTTTCTCAGTAACAACAGTGAAAATAATAAGCTTTTCTAGCACCTAGCCAGGCATGGTTCCAAGTGCATTACAGGATTCAACACATTGCCTCCTCACAGCTCTAAGAAGTAGGACTCTTACTGTCTGGATTTTCAGATGAAGAAGCTCAGACTCAGGGTAGTAGCTAAGGGGCACCCAGCTAACGGAGTGGCAGTCGTGCCCTGAGTCGTGCCCAGAGCCCCTTAGGACCAAGGGCCAGGAACTTGTTCTCGTAGCCATGTTGGTAAGACCCGTGTACAGCCAATAGATTCATGAAAGTTGGAGCTGGAACTGCTTTGCAGAAGGGGGTCTTCTTGAAAGGCACCTTTCTCTTTAAAATCCTTCAGTGAGTTAACCACCCCCCTGCCCCACCCAAGATGCTACATGGCTGGCCCTGGGGACCTCTCCCACTTTGCCTGAACACCTTGCTCATCAGCCCCAACCTCACCAGCCTCCTCTCAGTTCCTTCCCAACTGGAAGCATTTGCACAAGATGCTCCTTCTTTCTGGAACATTCTCTCCTCTCACTCTTCCTCCAAATGGCCCACTCCTTAAATTTTTCCCTTCAATATAAATTCCTCACCAGTCCTTCTAGAACCACCCATTAGAAGTGGATCTATTATCCTCTTTTCCAAGGCCTTATGTATTTCCGTGATTACAATGATAATTAATTGACTTCTTTGTTGTTTTGTTTCTGCCACTAGTTTGGCTGCTCTGTGAGGGTAGGGACCGTGTTTGGGTTCTTCAGCCTCACTCAGCTCCTGTCAGGTGCACAGTAGATACTCAGTATTTGTGGAAAGAGTGTTTCTCCTCCTCGGCCTCATACAGATTAGTACTTAGGTTTAGTATCAGGTGACGGAAACCCACCCTACTGAGGCTTAATCAGATCGGGGCTTTATTTTCTTCATGTACTAAGTTGCCTGAGGTGGGCAGAGCAGCCCACCTGACTGAACGTGACTCCTTGAGGCACGTGGGACCCAGGCCCCCCTGGCCTGGCCTGTTTCCTACTCTGCCATCATTGCTACATCCCGTCATGTGACTGAGTTCCAGGCAGGAAGGGCAGGGGTGAGCCCGCAGCTGGCTGGCCCATCCGGGGACTTCAGCTTACATTCTGTCGGCTGGGGTTGTGTCAGGCAGTCATGCTCAGCTGCAAAGGAAGCTGGAAAATCACCTTATAGCTGAGCATGTTGCTGCCCCAAATAAATTAGAGCTCGGTTGGTAAGGAGAACGGGGAGAATGGGTATTGGAAAGACAGCCGGCTGTCTCCTGCAGCTTCTCTGAAGGGAGAGAAGATCTGAAGGGGTCTCTGAATCCGTTTCTTTGCTCTAGTTAAATTGGCTGACTTAACCATCAAGCCAGAGAACTTTCCAGGGTCCTTTAAAAGCTTCTGGTCCAACCCCCTCCTCTTAAAGTTATAAAGACCGGGGGTCTCTGGATCATTGAACTTCTGTGTGGCCCTACATGAACCTAACGGCTGAGAGAAGACTAAAGCCAGGGGTCTTCCTCCTCTGACTGAAGGGTCTCCTCAGCAAGCCCAGGAAGGTGATGGCTGGAGGGGTTTAAGTGTATCAAGTAAAAGCTCAAGACTTAAACATGCAAGTTTTAGAGATACTACAGAAAGTATCTTTTCCGTAAAATCTGAACTTTTTTTTTGTTTTTCATTTCTTAGGTATATAATGCTAAATAGGAGTTCAGTTTTTCTACATTCTGCTTGGTTTTTTTTTTTTTTTTTCCCTTTCCCCTTCCAACAAACTGCTCTTTTTAGGTATGTTTTTTCATCCTTTCACCAGTAAAATTTATGAGCATTTATTTAAAAGAAAAAAACATTGGAAAAACTGAAGAGAGAAAGAGTGATTATACATATGGAAAGCTATAAAGAGCCACAGTGAATGTGTTGCGGTTATTGCTTTCTTAAAAAAACAAACCAGGCAGGCAGTTTGGAACCTGAAAGAGTCCTGTGTGAGGGCAGGCAGGCGGCAGAGGCTGCGAGTGATGGGCAAGTGGCCGGGGGCCAGGGAGGCCAGGGAGGCCAGGGAGGAGACGTTAGCTGCCTCCCCCACTCCCGCCCTCCTCCATCTCCCCTCTGACTGCCCCAGACAGGCCCAGAGAGAAAATGACTTTACCAAAAAACACAAAATTAAATTTAAAAAAGCTTCTTCAGAAAAATAAGATGGCCCAGACAGCCCCTGACCACAGGCTGAGGGAATCCAGTGATCGCCGGCCTGCCAGGGCCTCACACCCTGGTGAAGTCACACCACATCTCGAGTTTGGAGGGGGGAAGGGGGGGCAAGCCATGTTCTTCTGGGGACGGGGGTGTCCTGAAGGACAACTTTAACCTGTTCGGCCTTCCAGTGTTCTCCTTCCCCAAGTATTTGGGACCGTCCTCGGGAATGATAACATGTCTGCAAATCCGTTCTTTTGGCTTGCCCCTCGTTCGCCTCTGGCCCCGGGGTCTGCAGTTGGCCTCTTGCCATCTCCTAACCAGCTTCGCCAAGCTCTGTGGCTCCCCATCCACACTCCTGCCCTGCCATCCACCTCCCTCGATTCCCCCAAAGCCTAGCTAAGACCGCACGGGAACATTTCACAAAATTGTACTTGGGAAATACAACGTAGAAAGTAAAACACTTGGACCGGACGCTGGCTTTGGAGTTGATTCGTGGCCCTCTGTGGGACAACCCCTCCCTACGCCTTCACTCTCCTTGGCCCTCTGCCTGTTCCCACGTTGCTTCTCCCCTCCCCCATTTCCTCTTTTACATTATGGGACATTCCTGCTTAGATCTTCTCTCTTCCGTCTCTGTTCTGGGATTTGGGCTCTGACTTGACATTTCCTAAAGACCCACTGGAGTGTTTCTCTCTTCAGGTTACAAATTCTGCCTCCTTTCTGGACACAAGCACCACCAGCCACTTTAAAGTGATAATTCTGCAGCTTCCAGGGAAACAAACAAATAGCTTCTACTGGGCACTCAGTTATGAAAGCAAAGCTCAAGGAGGCTGCTGTCAGGGCCTCCTCCTCCCAGCCTTCCACGAAGCCCCCACGGCCTGCGACCTCCCACCACAGCATCAGCAGGCGGTGGCCCTCTCGACCCGCACTGTCCTGGGAACACTCACCCATCGCAAGTCCCAGGGCCCCTCTGGCTCTACTCCGATCTGCCCACAAACCTGGGAAGGCTCTCTCTACTCTGCCCAGACCTGTCACCAGGCTGTGATTTTTTGGGGGGTAAAAAATACAAATGTCTTAGAATCATAAAGTGTTACAGCTGGAAGGGACCCCAGAGATCCTTCTGTCCTACTCCCTCATTTCATAGATAAGGAAACTGAGGCTCAGGGATGTGCGGTGACCTCCCCGAGTTAAATAATGGGTTTGTGGCAATCTACTTTTGGACAGCATTCCCTCTCCCGTTTTGCTCTCTTCTGAAGTTAGAGAATGTCTGTGTTAGCTGTGTACTTTCTTCAGGCATGTGAGACAGAAAGCCAACTTGATGAAGCTGGAGGGGGAGAAAATGGAATTAGTTGGCTCATCTCTAGAGCTGTGGTGAGGGTGGGGTGGCTAGACCCACCTGAATCGCCTGGCCTCAGAGTTGGGAAGGGTGGTCCCTAGGGGAAGACAGAGGTGCTGTTACCAGAAGGAGGAGGATGCTGGGCAGGGAAAATGAGAGATGTCCATTACAGTCCACCACTTAACTGCCTCAGGTTCTCATAGACTTCTCTTCCCATGCACACAACTGTATCCCCTACAGCCTTAAACACACTTGCCAAAGCAAGACAGCCGAAATCTCATCCAGCTACTGCATTCGGCCATTTTGACTGTGCCTGTTTGTGCTATTTGCAAGGATATCCCTTGTCCACAGTCCTCCTTTGATCCCTAATATGGACATGGACTGATTCTCCTGTCTTTTTAACAAACCATTTTCTACGTTTTAGTTTGGGGATCTTTAAGCATTGTCTTAGAGCTTCTGTTTACCACGCTTGGGCACTCTCTGGCAACAGGGTTGCCATGAATAGTTGTCCAGTGTGTACACTGCACAAAAGCATTCTGCTGAGAGGATGAGGGACTATGTCTGCCCAGAGGGGGAAGGATGCACTTTTCCATTTCACATAAAGTCTCTCCTAGGCTAAAATTGTATTGTCCTCTGACAACACGAGCACTTTAAAAGTTCAGTAAAGGGGCGCTAGGATGGCTCAGTCGGTTGGGAGTCTGACTCTTGATTTCGGCTCAGATCATGATCTCGGGGTTGTGGGATGGAGCCTCACATCGGGCTCTATGCTCAGTGCGGAGTCTGCTTGTCCCTCTCCTTTTGCTCTTCCCCTGCCACTTGCGCGAGCTTTCTCTCTCTCTCTCTCTCTCTCAAATAAATAAATAAAATCTTTAAAAACATAATAAAATAGTAGGTGCATCACTTAGAATGCTTTTTACAGCCTCAGTGCTTTTTTTTTTTTTTTTAAGATTTTTATTTATTTGTGAGAGAGAGAATGAGAGACAGAGAGCATGAGAGGGAGGAGGGTCAGAGGGAGAAGCAGACTCCCCGCTGAGCAGGGAGCCCGATGTGGGACTCGATCCCAGGACTCCAGGATCATGACCTGAGCCGAAGGCAGTCGCTTAACCAACTGAGCCACCCAGGCGCCTCAGCCTCAGTGCTTTTTACAGTTAATAAAAAGGAAATATATATTCTTTGATATTGTTTAGTCCAAAGGTGGGGCAACAGACTTGACAATATCCAGGGAAGGGTGTCTCCTTCTCAAGAGTGGAAAAACATTTTCTAGAAGCTTCCTTGCTGGCTTCCCTTCACTTCTTATTGGCCAAACTGGGTCAAATGCCTACCCCTAAATCAATCACTTGTAAAAGACAGTGGGATTCCTCAGTTGTCTTAAGCCAATCTTGGAATTTATCCCTGAGCTGGGGATAAGGTGACTTTCCTGAGGGGTGATACCTGCACGGAATCTTGGTTTGTTCAGCAAGGAAGAAGGGAGGGACACTGGACTCTACTCCATGTGGCTACAGCAGGCCTTCCTCTGTTTACATTCAGGCCTCTGGCCTGTGACCTTTCCTTGAATCTGGATGCCAGGCTGGTAGCTTCTTTCTCATGCTAATAGGGGTCTTAATGCTCTGCATACACCCCCCAGTTTTCTGCTTAAAGGCCTTCATCTTTGCCCTTGCTTTGGACCAATGTGAAAGAAGACCCCGGGGAAAGGCAACGCTGTGGCCTTCTGCTCCAGGTTCCATTCTAGCAAATTGGTCTTTACCAAGAGGCAATTTTCAGCTTCCTGAGGTGCTTTGGAGGGACCCAGGGAATTAGGCCTAGCCTCCACCGGAGACCCGAAGTCCTCTCCCATTGTGTTCTCAGCTTCCTGACAGTGCTGGCCCTAATTTTAGCTTGCAGCATTAATTAATCTTTCCCAGCCTTGCAAGAAAATAGATTACATGACTCTTGATCACCTTAGGTTGCTGGCTGGAGGCTTCGAGAGGCCCACTTGGTGGGGCTGTCCCCCCCCCATCCCCCTTCCTCCACTGGGCTTTTCCGGAAGGAATTCACAGAAGGCCTAAGAATTAGCTAACACCCCCCAACATGTGTAGTATGTGTGAAACAGAGTCAAACTTATAAGACAGCTTTGGATTTAGAAATACAAAAAGAAATATTGTTTTCATAATGCAAACTGAAGAAAGGCTCTACAAAACCTTTTTTCTTGCTGGGGGACAGATTTGAGAGCTCGAGAACACTGCAGGGCCCTAAGAGTTGAGGGAGAATATGAGGGATGGCTAAGAAACAGTTCCTGGTCTGAGGAAACTTATAGTCTCTCTGGGGAGACACATATTAAGGGGGAGTAAATGTGAGTTTGTGTTCAAGCACTGCCTAGTGTAATGAACACCCATTTCTTTCTGTGCCTAGTAAAATCCCATCATTGAGACTCAGGTCAAATGTCGCCTTCTTGGTAAAGTCTTCCCTGGAATCCACTTCTCATGCACGGTAGAGAAAACGCCCCACTCAGGTATCCCGCAGTGAGGAATGCATCCCCAGCAAGTCCTTTGATCATCTCATCCTGTCCTGGTGACGGCTTCTTGTAAGACCTGTTGGAGAACCGAAACGTTGGTTGGTTACTTCCGTCTTTTGCATGAGACCGTGGGCTCTCTGAGATCAGGGACAAGTCAGTGGGGACCTGAATTGTTGTGATGAGGCCACACTTCCCACAGGCTGCCCCCAGCCAGGGACTGGTGTTTCTGGGGGATGCAGGACTCCCCTGACTTGCAGCACGGGCTCAAAGATTTTGTGTCAGCCTGGCCGAAATGTTCTCAGAACGGCTCCTGTCTGCGCTTCTCCTGCCCAAACTCCTCTCCTCCCTGCTTTCCTCCTTTGAGGAGAGACGGGGCAGATACTTGAGAAAGAAGCCAGAAGAAGCTTCAGGGAGGGAGTGGGTCTTATCTGGGGCCTGGACATCAGGCAAGGCTGCTGGAGAGGAAAGAAACAGTCTTCATGGAGACCCCGTATCTGTTGAGGATGGTTTCAATGTTCTATCGTCTTCTCAGAGCTAAGCTCAGGAGAGAGTGGGGGGTCAATAGAATGGGATCCCTCTGTCCTGGCATAGGAGGGTCGCCCAGGTAGGGGGTGGGATAGGGAGGCAGAGGGAACAGATGGAAACCAGAAAGGGCCACCTTGGCTGTTGTCAGTGTCCAAGCCTGAGGCCCTGACATAGAGCAGGGCCCCCAGATGGTGCTGGGTAGCCCCTGGGGGCCCCTGTGGATTAGGGCGGATTTGTGTGAGATGTTTCTGCAGTGAGATCAGCATCCAGAGCCAGAGTGAATTCCCCCTTGCGAGTTCCACTTTCTCCTGGACGCTGTGCAGTTCCAACAGGGGTCTGGCCCTGGTTCCCACCACCATGCTTTCTACTCCAATGACATCTGGTTATAGTTCCCATCAAGGGCAGCCCTGATCCTGAGCCCCATAGCGGCGGGGGTGGGGGGAAACACTGGCGGGAGTCGGGTTCCTGCCCCAGCTGCTGCTGCTGTGGTCTGACTCCCACGAGACCACTGAGGCCGGGAGGAGTGGGGCTGTACCCAAGAGGGGGATGTGCCTGGCACCGGGGAGGGGCAGCCCTGGACCGAGCCAGCAGGTGCAGGAGCGGGATGGGGGCGGAGAGTCCTAGCTGACTTGAGGCTCCAGTTGGCGTGGCCGCTCCGGAGTCCACTGCCCGGTCAGCAAACAGGACTGAAGCCCAGGGGCAGGTACCCGGGGCTGTGGGCGAGCCGGGGCCCAGCTGGAAGGCCTCGGGCCCCAGCCGACCCTCAGGCTCAGGCGGGCACTTCACGGCCAAGGGCTTGAGGCCTGGCTTATCTCCCCAGGTGCCCTGTTCCCTGCCACTTTATCAGGGAGGGTAAGAAGGTGTCAGAGCTCGGGACTCCCGTCCTCCCTCCCCGTGGGACGGGGCCCAGGTGCAAGGGGGAGGACGACCCTGGGGCATGGCCAGAAGACCTCTGACCTGGGAGAGTTTAAAAGGCCCCAGGACCTTCTCTCAGCCTCAGTTGATGTTCCCAATTAGCTGCAGGATGAGGCGGGTGCTGATTTTCAGTGTGTTGCTAGGGGCTGTGCTTGGCAAAGAGGACTTTACGGGGTAAGAGGATGGCGAGAAGGGGGTGCTCACACAGGAGAGAGGAGGACTCAGCCGCTGGCCAGCATCTGGAGGCAACAGACAGGCTGACTTGTGGGAAGACTCCAGAGAGGCGCAGACTAGTACACGCTGGGAGGCAGGCTGACCAGGGGCCATCCCAAGCCCCGGAGAAATCCAAGCTTGAAGGAGTTTTTAGGAGAGGAGGTGGGAGGAAGCCTGGCTGGCTTTGGAGAGAGAAATAGAGTCTAAACTGGGATGGGGATCTCAGTTGGGTCCAGAAGGTTCCAAGGAGCCTAGACCTCCCCTTGCTAAGACCCCTCATGATTCCTCCTGCTCAGCCAGAGGATAGAGGCCCAGCCTGGGGATTCCGGGCCCCTCCATGCCACTCTCCTCCCACCTGGGGAGCGTGAAAGGCCAATCAGAGTTGCTCAGACCCTTCATCTCCCCTCCCTCTCTGCCCAGGCACCAGGTGCTCCGAATCTCTGCTACCGATGAAGCCCAGGTACAGAAGGTGAAGGAGCTGGAGGACCTGGAGCACCTGCAGGTCCGAAGAAGTGGGGAGTCGTCCCCGAGGCTTAGGGTTCCTCTCAGGCTAGCCGGACCCACCCCAGGATGCCACCCTTCCCTGGGGCCACCTGGGGCCTAGGCCCTCTCTCCTCAGCCACCCAGAAAGGACCCAGGGGACTGATCCCTGTTAAGAAATGATTTAACCCCCACCTCCCCCAGTCCCAGAATCTTGCTGCCCTCGAGCATCTGAGCAAAGGGGGGGCCTCCTTTCCGGCACAGCTCTCTCCCCTTTGCTTTCTTGAAGCTCCTCCACGGTGCTTCCTGGGCCATTTCCCTGACCACAGTGGACTCTGTCCAATGGCCACGGTTTCCCCTTCGTCCCCTGCCCCTAACAGCCATGCCACAGCCACGGTTGTAGGGGACACTCTGGCCTAACACCCCCTCCCGGGCTGGCCCCTTCCCAGCTCGCGGGGACAGTGCCTGTTCTCGTCCTCCCCAGCTGGACTTCTGGCGGGGCCCTGCCCAGCCTGGCTCCCCCATCGACGTCCGAGTGCCCTTCCCCAGCACCCAGGCTGTCAAAATCTTCCTGGAGGCCCATGGCATCGGGTACACGACCATGATTGAGGATGTGCAGGCCCTGCTGGACGAGGAGCAGGAGCAGATGTTCGCCTTCCGGACCGGGGCCCGCTCCACGGACACCTTTAACTACGCCACCTACCACACCCTGGAGGAGGTGAGGGACCCCTGGGGTCACGCCGCGCGAGCACTAAGCTCTGCCTCAGGCTGGCAGAATGCGGCCGACCTGGGTGTGCGGGGCACCTGCCGTGTCTCCTGGCGGCCCGGGGGGGCCGGGGTCGTGGCTCCCCTGAATCTCAGTGCTTGCAGCCGGAGGGCGAATGGAGCTGCCCCGGGAGGCATCCGGGTGCCTGGCAGCCACTCCAGCCAGCCTCCCCTTCTCTCCCTTCTCAGATCTATGGCTTCATGGATATCCTGGTGGCTGAGCACCCGCAGCTCGTCAGCAAGCTCCAGATTGGCAACAGCTACGAAGGGCGTCCCATCTACGTGCTGAAGGTAACGGGCACCTGCGTGAGAACGTACCGGGCCCGTATGGGAGAACGGGCAGCCACCTGTGTGTGTCAGGCCTCGCGGGCGAGCCCAGGGTCGCAGAGAACACACCGTGACGTGTGCGCCCCATGCTGACACTGGGGAGGGACAGAATCTCTACGCTGGTCCAGCTGTATGCATACCTGTACACACACAATTCTTTTTTTTAAAGATTTTATTTATTTATTTATTTGAGAGAGAGAGAGAGAGAAACAGCATGAGAGGAGAGAGGGTCAGAGGGAGAAGCAGGCTCCCCGCCGAGCCTGGAGCCCGATGTGGGACTCGATCCCAGGACTCCGGGACCATGACCCGAGCTGAAGGCAGTCGCTTAACCAACTGAGCCACCCAGGCGCCCACAATTCTTAACTTTTTAAGTGACCCAGGTATTTCCAATCAAGTGTCACATTGTGGGAAGTATTCCAGAGTCGGTGGAGTCCAGAGAAAATGTTTTATTTGTGATGGCCCACAGGGAACTGTGTATGGGCAGCAGAAGAGGGCAGGGCCCAGAGTTCTGGCTGAGGCCCATTTGCCCCAAGACCGGTATGAAGGCTGGAGGCCACGTTCTTCTGGATTCCTGTCCAGACACCCCCCACCCCCACCTCACCTGAGTGATAGCCCCACAAACAGAGCCTCAACCTGACATACCCAGGGAGAAGAAGGCCTCTGGGCCGGGGTAGGCTCCCCTTCAAGGAGCCAAGACAGGATTCTAGCTGGATCTCCCTGTTCTTCTCTTCCAGTTCAGCACTGGGGGAAACAGCCGTCCTGCCATCTGGATCGACACCGGCATCCATTCCCGGGAGTGGGTCACCCAGGCCAGCGGGGTCTGGTTTGCAAAGAGGGTAAGCCTGGGGCGGTGAGCAGGGCTCTTGCCTGGTGGGGCTGGTGGTCAAGGCCCATAGGAGCCCTGGCCTCCCCCGTTCACCCAGAAGCGGTGATGCAGAGGAAGCAGGTGCTCACTGCCTCAGCATGGCGGACGGCTGGCCTGACCCCCTCCGCCTGTCTGTCCCCTAATTCCCCACCAGATCACACAGGACTATGGCCAGGACTCCACGCTCACTGCCATTCTTGACTCCATGGACATCTTCCTGGAGATTGTCACTAACCCTGATGGTTTTGCCTTCACCCACAACAAGGTACAGGCCTTCTCCCATTCTTCGGAGGAAACAGGGTGGGCCTCTGGGCCTCTGAGCCCCATGAGCTACTCACCCCTAATCTCAACCCCCAGAAGTCAAGGGAGGGGCAAATAGACCTGTCTTCCTAGACCAGGGTTCTCATCCTTGGCATTCTTGACATTTGGGGCAGAGAATTCTTTTTTTGGGGGGGGGGGACTGTCCTGTGCATGCAGAGTGTTTAGCAACATCCTGACCTAATACTCAGGAAATGCCAGGAGCAACCCCTCCCTTGAGAGAGCCAAAAATGTCTTCAGACATTGCCAAATGTCTGGGTATTGTCCCCGGGGGAGACCCACTGCCCTGGACCTTATTTCCTAGCTTTATGTTACTTTTATGGCAGGTACAGCATGCTACTAATCTAGTGTGTGTGGCGGGGGTGGGGGGTGGGGCGGTGGGGGGTTGTGGAGGCACCTGGTGCCTTCATTTCCACTGGTAGGACCCTCTGGCCAAACGCCAGATACTGTTGCCTCTGTTCTCCTTCAACCAAGAGCCTCCTTTGCAGACCTTCCTGACAACCAGTTGAAAGTGGTTTCTGACCCCTGCTATGTCCACCCCAGTGTTACAGATGGGGTGCTTCGTGTTGGTTAGGGCCGCTCACAGCCCACCCTACTGTCTGTGGGCTCTGGACGCCAGCCCGGCATGGTGACAGACAAGTGTCTGATTCCTTCCCCAGAATCGCATGTGGCGCAAGACTCGGTCCCTCACGGAGGGCTCCTCCTGTGTTGGAGCGGACCCCAACCGGAACTGGGATGCTGGCTTTGGGAGTAAGGCCCAGTGTGATTTGGAAGCAGGGATGGGAAACCCAGAGTGGCTTCTTCCCTTCCTGTGTCCCATTGCCCCCTCCCCTTTCCTGCCGCAGTGGCGAGGGCAGGGTGGGGGGCTGTCAGTGTCTCCTCGGGCTCTTAGCGAGGTTTTCTTGTGCCATGTCTAAAAACAAATCTCCCCGCAATGGAATTAAGGTCTGAAATCTGTGTAGGGGTTTTCGAGGGTAACTTCAGCTCCTTCCCTCTGTGGTCCCTTCACTACAAGAATGGGTCTTGGGGACGCCTGGGTGGCTCAGTCGGTTAAGCATCTGCCTTTGGCTCGGGTCATGATCCCGGGGTCCTGGGAGCGAGCCCCGTGTAGGTCATATCGGGCTCCCTGCTCAGCGGGGAGCCTGCTTCTCCCTCTCCCCCTGCTGCTCCCCCTGCTTGCGCTTTCTCTCTCTCTCTGTCAAATAAATAAGATCTTAAAAAAAAAAAAAGAAAAAAAAGAATGGGTCTTGCTTGAGACCCTCCTGGGGCACGTCCATCCATGTTGCCTACGCCTGGCTGGGGAGGGAGGCAGGACCCCCAGGTTATAAAAGGCCTTTGGCCTTTCCTTAATCCCAGGGTGGGGCTGAGCCCTCCTGCATTCCACCTCACCCCCCCTTCCATGCGAAGAACTTGAGGCTCTAGAAGCCACGCTGCCAACGATCCTTCTTCCTCTCCCGCAGTGCCTGGAGCCAGCAGCAACCCATGCATGGAAACTTACCGCGGCAAGTTTGCCAATTCCGAAGTGGAGGTCAAGTCCATCGTGGACTTTGTGAAGAACCACGGGAACATCAAGGCCTTCATCTCTATCCACAGCTACTCCCAGCTCCTCCTGTATCCCTATGGCTACAAAGCAGAGGTGGCCCCTGACCAGGCTGAGCTGGTAGGTGCCCACCCCCCACTTGCCCTGCGGTGCCTAGCACCCCTTTCTCCCACGGAGCCCTGATGGCTTAGGAAGACCTGCAAGGCAGACTAGCCTCCATTTCTGCCTGGGAAACTGAGGCCCGCATGGGTCGAGTCACTCCTGTCACATGACAGAGCAAGGGGCAGGGCTAGACTTGGAGCTGGTACCGCAAGCTCCGCTTGGGGCTGCAGGGCGACCAAAGGGCAGTGACCGAAGTGCCAGCCAGACATCCCGTGGGGCTGGAGGACCACGGGGTCGCTGAACTCCCGCTCTCTGCTGGGCTACTTCCCAGCTGGACTTTGGGCGACACTGGCCCTGCTGTTCTGGGGGGCCTGCTGTTGCTGCCCGTAACAGGTGGTTCCGCTCGGCATTTTCTCCAGGACCAGGTGGCCGAGTCTGCTGTGACAGCCCTCTCCTCTCTGTATGGGACCAAGTTCCAGTATGGCAGCATCATCAAAACAATTTGTAAGTGGGGGCATGGTCTCCGCAGCGGCCCCGGGAGGAAGCTTAGCTGGTGTTTCCCGCCTGGGGTAGTGTCCCTCCTGGGGGAGGTGCCCAGGGGTGCCTTGGTCTGGGAGCCTGGGCGAGGAGAACAGTTCTCGGCCGTGCCTCGGTGGGCAGCGGGGCCCATTTCTGACATGAACTCTGCCTTCTTTGGTACCTTCAGACAAAACATATCGGCTCCTCTGAGAACTTTTGTCCCCTTGTCTTAGGTTAAGTCCAGCTTTATGCAGGCGGTGGAGGGTTCTGCTGGCATTTCTGTATGACCAAGAAATTCAACTTAAAAAAATACTCCTCCTCTGTGCCTTTCGCTTAGAGAATGGATCCTCTCTATCCCCAGCTTACTTGTACCTGCAATGCTGCTGGGAGGAGCACTGCTACATCCAAACAGAATTCAGTCAGCAAATGTTTGCTAAGCACCTACTATGCATCAGGCCTTGTCGTCTGTGCTTGGGAGACGGTTGGGAATAAGCAAAGATCAGGAACCATACATTCTAGTCGGGGGGAGTGACGATAAACATGAATAAGTAAATGATACAGTATGTTAGGTGATGAAAATTAGGGAGGAAAAGAAAAACTAGAACAGGGTAAATGGAATCAGGGATACTGGGCATGGAAGTTGGGGAGGTGGGTAGAAGGGTAGGCCTCAGTGAGTTGGTGCTATTTGGGCAAGTATTGAAGGAAAACGAGGAAGGGAGCCAAGAGGCTATCTGTCTGGGGAAGAGCCTTCTGGGCAGAGGAACCTTCTAGAACAAAGGCCCTACCGTGTGATCTGGACTGGCGTGTTGGGGAAATGGCAAAACAACATGGAGCCCCACGTGACGGCAGGCGGGGGGGAGAGTGCACAGGGTCATAGGGGACTAGTGGGGTGGGGACAGATACCATAGGGCCCTGAGGAATGCAACAGGTTTGCCGGCTGACAAGAGGCAGGGGACAGGGACAGAGGTGGGAGGTCTGCACACGCCCCTCACGTAGCTCGTGCCCAGAGTGCCTGGTGTTAGTAGGTGAGTGGGCCACAGTCTTAGCTACGGCTGGCCTTGCTTTTGGATCCCAGGCCTGGTTTGGAAGTAGTTTCAAACTGCATCAAAGTTTTCTGCTTCATTCAACGTTGTCAAATGACCTTCTGATACGCAGCCGCCTCCTGCATGCCGGCCCAAGTCAAAAGCAACTTGTTATCCACTGTGAACTGCAAATCTGGGCCAAGTTTCTTCCAAAAAGACAGCCAAGGGGCTTTTACTTTGCCTCTGGCCCTTTGCACTTTCTCCTGCAGACCAGAGAGAGCCCCAGGGGACAAATCCTGGTTACTCAAGTGGGTAACTCTGGTATATTTGGAGGTCTGACCAAAGCAGCTGTTGGAGGGAGGCGGTTTTCAGTGGGGCTTTCGCAATTGCCAGACCGTTCTTGCATCCCCCCTTTGATAGGAGAACCACGGCTGGTCCCTCTCTCTGGGCCTCTTGAGCGGAGACCTTTTGGGGGAGCTTCCTGGGAGGAAGCCAGGCTGCTTGCCCAACAGTGGGCCCTCAGCAGGCGCGGCCTCCCGTGAACCCCGCATGAGGCTCGGGGTTTCGGACCATCGGCCCGGTCCACATTAATGTGTCAAGAGTGATTGACCTTTGCTCTCTGGCGTCTGCTCCCACCCCAGACCAAGCCAGTGGAAACACCATTGACTGGAGCTACAGCCAAGGCATCAAGTACTCCTTCACCTTCGAGCTCCGGGACACGGGGCGCTATGGCTTCCTGCTGCCGGCCTCCCAGATCGTCCCCACGGCCCACGAGACGTGGCTGGCGCTTCGCGCCATCATGCAGCACACCCTCAATCACCCCTACTGAACTGGCCCTTCTGCGCCCTCCTCTTCCTCCTCTCTGGCCCCACCCAGGCAACCGAATAAAGTCTGAGTGTCCATGGAACAGAACCTGGGGGCTGGCACGGACGAGGGCGTCTGCCTTTGCAAGCCGGGGCAGAAGTGGTTTAGTTCCTGCAGGCCTCCCTGGGAATGTGTGGGTGGCTGGACTAGATGACCCCTAAATTCCCCTGCATTCCGAGGTCCTCTGAAGTTGGATCCAAGTGGCTCGGTCTTAATCAGAGCAGCCCGCGCTCGGCTCATCGGTGCGGCGGTTCGTTCACACCTGAGTGGCCGGCGGCCGCCGCAGCTGCTACCACATGCCGACACCTGCGGGGGGAGGAGTTCGGCCTGCGCCGCGGTGGAGCTAGTTGGGGCCGTTTATCCACAGAGGCAAGGACTCTGAGCATGGCCGAGGCTAATCCCGGTGGCCGCTGCTGTCCCAAGTAGACATCGCAGCCAGGCAGAGCAAATTTAACTAAGTCGGAAGAAAACAACCGGGTTCAGGGAAAAATTTCCTGGAGATAAAGAACAAACACCAATCCCAGGACATTTTATTAACTGTAGTACATCACGGAGACTTTGCTTTTAGGGACAGAAGGGGCCTTATTTTCATATGCCACATCCTTTCTAGCATCCTTCGACACATGGTCTCCACTTCCTCTCCTGTTTTACCCACCACCACTCCCTTGCCATTTGCAAAATTTCTCAAATATAAGGCTCTCCCTCTGATACTCTCCAGAGCTCCTAAAACTCACCGGCTTTCCTCCTGCGGCTCGGCGGTTCTGATGGCTGTGACATGGCACGGAGCGCTAGCCCCACGATACACTGGGCATCTCAGCTTTTTTTTTTTTTTTTAAAGATTTTATTTATTTGACAGAGAGAGACACAGCGAGAGAGGGAACACAAGCAGGGGGAGTGGGAGAGGGAGAAGCAGGCTCCCTGCAGAGCAGGGAGCCCGATGAGGGGCTCGATCCCAGGACCCTGGGATCATGACCTGAGCCGAAGGCAGACGCTTAACGACTGAGCCACCCAGGCGCCCCTCAGCTTTTTTTCAAAGCAAGAATCTACCCGGTGTTTCTTCCAAATCTCTTCAGATGCAAATGTGGAGCAAATGTGGGGGTTATTCTCACAGCAATCGCTGGAAGGGAGCGAGGGTGGATTGGTAGCTCCCCAAAGAGGGAAGCTGGGGGGAAAAGATGGCAGCTTTCCCTGTGTGAGCCAGGCGAGGTGTTGCAGCACCTCCAGCTCCAAGGACGTAAAAGTCTTATCTTTTCCACAGGTCAAATGCTCTATTTTTGTTTGTTTTGCTACCAAACATTCCAGAAAACAAAAAGTATGAGGCAGACTATACATACAGTATATATAAACTTACATATATGTAGGTTTATGAGGCAAGGTAAAATGGTGTTTCAGTCTTATCTTTTTTTAAGATTTTCTTTATTTGAGAGAGAGAGCGAGAGCACGGGCACACATGCGCGTGCGCGACTGGAGGGAAGAGCGGAGGAAGAGGGAGAAGCAGACTGAGCGCAGAGCCCGACGCGGGGCTCGATCCCAGGACCCTGAGATCATGACCTGAGCCGAAGGCAGCGGTTTAACTGACTGAGCCACCCAGGCGCCCCAGTATTCCAGTCTTTACAGAAAAATGACCTAAAGATTTTATAACACTCCCTTCAAGTTATCTTTTGGGAAACACTTCCATTCAATCTGTGTAGATAAGCTGAAACCCATTTTGATGGCTCAGTTTGGACAAGTAAAAAGCTGATCTTATTTTTTTATTTTGTTAAGTTTGCAAGGACACTATATCTTACAAAATCAGATTACTTAGACTTCAAGGGTAGAATTGCTTAATTTAAAATAATTGTGCTTCCGGATAGCAGGCACCACTTTGTTTGGCATTCAATCTCCAAAACCACCAACAGTAGTTGACGTATAGATGCCCAATAAATATGTTGAGTGAATGTTCTCTACTTTTGCTAGCGAACGAACTCATGAATTTTGTAATCTGTACAGTGTAGGCTTGTGAGTTATTTTGAATTCCCTGAGTTGTAGTTTAGGAAGTGAGGCTCTGAGCAAGTAAGAGTCTTAAGACACCTGACAAGATAAGGAACGAACCCCAGAATGAAAATTCCATGAGGGCAGAGATTGCATTGTTTTTTCAACACGTAATCCCTATTGGTTGGCCAAATACACGGCACATAGTAGGCACTTAATAAATACTTGTTAAATGGAGACATGGAACTTGTTAATACTTTTTTTTTTTTTTTTTTTGTATTTCCAAGTGTAGGACGGGGTTTCCGTCTTATTGGCAGATACATATTTTTACAAATCTGTGGGTAAAAATTTTACTTTATAGATAAAAATATAAAGCAAAAAGGGAAATGATAATTTTAGAAAATAGTGCAGCATACATGAAAAAGTATTAAAAACCTTGAGGGGAAAAGAGTTCTTATAAGTAAAAGGGGTTAAATAAAAAGGACTACCATTTCCAAAGAAAAATAAGCAATTCCCAAAAGAAGAAACAGAAAAAGCCAATAAATGTATGAGAGATACTGATCCTCTGAGTGATTTTTTTGTACATTAAAGAAAAGCAAAGGAATCATTTTTCTCCCATCAGATTGACAAAGGAAAAAAAGACTGACAACTCAGTGTTATCAAGGGTATGAAGAAATAAGACCTGTCATATACTACTGGTGTGAAGATAGATTTATGCCACCTTCCCGGGGGCGGCAGCGGGGAGGGGGGGTGCAATATAAATCAAAATTTCAAATGTATTGTTGCTTTAACCCAGAAAGTGCACTTGGAGAAATTTATTTTATAAAAATATTCAGACAAGTTCAAAGATATGTATGTACAAGGCTGTAATAATACAAAATTAAATAAAAAGGAAAAGAACTACCTAGGTACCAGTATTGATACCCATATGACATGTTTAAACAACGGACTATCTTGAGGCCAGTGCAGACCGTGTTGACATGGGGAACTGGGTCACAAAATACTAAGTGAAAGAGGCCAGCCACATAATGAAAATGTTCTAAAACAGGATTGTGGTAATGGTTGCACAACTCTGTAAATTTGCTGAGCATCACTGAATTGTACACTTAAAAATGTGGATTTTAGAGTATGGAATTTATACTTCCATACAGTTGTTTAAAAAAACAAGAAGTTGGTTGCAAATTAGTATGTCGAGTATGAATCTCATTTTTGTTTGAAACACGCATACACATACTATGCCAGGAAGGATACATTCCCCAGTAATAATCGAGGTCCCCCTGGGTGGCGGCGGTGGTGGTTTTCCCTCTTTTCTGAATTTCTTGCAATAAGCTTGTAGAATCAGGAAAGAACACAACGATTTCAAACACACCAGATAACCTGTGGGTAAAGTATAATCTGGAATCAACTTAATATCAACATCAAACATTTCATGCCCATCTTAATTTGTGCCAGATTCTTTTTTATGATTTGCCTCAACTCATCTCTTCTGCTCTGGCATCCTATTTCACCATCTTGCCCAGAACAATGTATCTTATCTTCGGAAAAATTTACACTCCAGATAGAGCTGGAAGCAGTAGTGTTGCTACCCAGGGAAGGTGTTTCTCCCGCTCCCAGTTGGGAGCTCTTCCCTACGCATTCTGCCATAGCTCAGACGAAAATCCCCAAGAGCCCTTTCTGCTCACATTCGGTTCCTGTAGCAATCTGGGGAATTGATTATGCTAATGCCTATTCTCCAGGGCTTTTCAAAAATCTTTATCTTTAAATGAACTCATTTGGCTTTTTTCTTACACCATCATATATGGTTCTCAATGTGGCCTGTGGGCCATTGGTGGTCCGTGAGAATCCTTCGGGTGGCCTCTTGAATTAACACTCAGATATGTACGTGTAGCTTTCTGGTTTTGGCTTGAAGTTAAATTTGAAATGTCACTGAATACAATCCAGATATGACCTCACTGGTCCCTCATCCAGTGCAGTGGTATTCATCATCTCAGTGAGTGTTTTGCAAGGGCAAGTGGGGCCAGGTGGGTTTGAGGCTGCAGAAGGACCCTAAGGACAGAAACATCATTCTGCGAACATACTCAGACCCAGATGCTACTTACAGGAAACTGATATGGCCAGCCATCACATTCAAAGTGGCCACGTGAAGGAAGAACTCTGAGAAAGAGGCACAGAGGACCCGTCAAATCTGAAAAACTGTCACAGGGTAATGAATTTTCCCCAAAGCTTTCAGGATCTGCACTAATTTGGCAACTCACATTGCGAGCATCACCTAACAACCGCAGAGACAGAGACTGCCAAATGTTTATGGCCAGACGCAAAGAAGAAAATGCAAAGCGTCCTGCTCCACCACAGGAGTGGCATTCTGCTACATCGTGGGGAGACTGCAGGGGAGCACTTACTCCATGGACATGGACGGAGGCAGAGGCTTGCCCCTGCTCCCTCCCGTGAGACCCAGGCCTGTGGCCAGGAGCCGGTTCACGCAATTTATGTCTCAGCCTGAATCAGAGACATCACCCCAAAGGACAGGAGAGACGGGAGACAAATCCTATCAATATGGTTTATTAAATGAACAGTTCAATGTACAAAAACAGCCTACTTCTTTTCCAACAGTCAGGTTAGAAGTCGGTAACTCCCATTCCTTCAGGGAGACCTCATTCGTGTTCATTCGGACACAGAACAAATCTCAGAAAGCCTGGCGCACCTGCCCTCAGGACAGGTCGAGAGACCCAGACAGTGGATCTGTGGAAATACATGCCCCCGGGAGCAGATGGGCAGTCTCTGAATTCCTGTCGCCTTTCTTGCAGACCGAGGAGGACAGAGGGGAGGCCAGCACCCGAGGGAAAGTTACATTCGAGTTGGTAAATCGGGGGGCGTCACCAAGGGAGAGCGTGGCTGCGCCCAGCCGGTGTGGGAGGCACAGAGCAGAGCGGAGGATGAACTTGATCGGAAGCCGCGGTTCTCAGGCCGGCTCCCGGCTTCTCAATTAGCTCAGTGGCTCAGGGGCTCCAGGCGAGTTGCCTAATTTCCACCTGCTCCTCAGTCTCCTCACCTGAAAATGGGGCACCCATCCCATGGGACCGCTGTGAGAACACATCCGGAAGAGTCTAGGAACACTGCCTAACACAGAGTAAGCTCTTCACACGTTTGCTAGGATCACTCTCCGGAGAGCTTCAAGATTTGAAACAAAAGAGAAAAAGGACCCACTCTCAGATGGGGATGGCGTACAACCTGTGTTCGGTGAATTCTGAAGGCTCCTTGGAGCCTGAGGCGTGGCAGACTGCAGACAGCCGGGGAAATAATAACGCCCCTAACAGCTCCCAGGGTGCCCCCTGCAGCGGGTAATCTAAAAATCGCAGGCTTGTGAATGCCTCTCGCACAAAAGCAGGATGTACACAGGGACCAAAGATAACGAGCTTGCCGGGGTCTCCAGGACGGCAGGCCAGCATTGAGCGGCGAGCGTCACGGGCACTGCATCCCGGATTGCAGTCTTGACAGCTTCAGTTCACTTAGTCACGCGCGCTTACGAAAGGTCACTGTCCTATCGCTGGTGATTTTCACCCTCTGGGAGCTTATAGTCAAAATAATGTCGACTAGAAGACGTATTTGCATCCTTTAAAAAAGGCAGTCCATCAGTCAGGAGCATTTAATAAGTAAGTGGCCTCTGTTTGCCACGCGTTTTACCAGATGCCTCAAGATGTTACACAGGCGAAGAGCATTTGCTTCTACGTTTGGAACAAAGGAGGATCAGCATCAGAGAGTGAGACCGTCAGGGGATCGCGGCGTGACAAATATAGTTTTATAAACACACATGAAATCACGCACTGAATCCTGTTTTGTCAGAATTCAATGCTGACAAATTTCCATTCTTACATTTTCCGTGCTATCACTGACCCATGTATGAATTTAAGGACACCACAATGACAACGTCAATAGTTACCACAATTTCAGGAAGGTATTACTACCCAAATGTATTCTGAGCACTCTGGAAGCACAGGGTGTCTCAGTTCCTGTTTTTTTTTTTTTTTATAGGAAAAAATACATTTGTTAATAAAAAAATCAGTTGACCTGCATATAAGCATATCATCATGCACCCACAATTAAAAGGATGAATTATTACCTATGTTTCCAATGCTTCTTGTAAAAAAAAAAGAAAAGTATTATGGGAATTGTGTCTTTGAAAGAATTGTGATGAATCTAAACGCACATGAAAGACACTGACAACATTCTGTGACCGGGGAAAGGAAGGTTCTCTGTGATAATCATCGGGGTATGGCAAGAAGGGAGTCGTGGATGTAAATCCAGGTGGACAGAAATTAATTACACCCCCCCTCTACCAAAATGTCGGATGACATAAAGACAGAATCTATAACCAATATGTAACATGACAGAAACCAAAACCAGCACAAGAAAAATTACCTACATCTTTCTTCCTAGCCTAGGACTCTGATTTCACTGATATTCCATCAGAGAATTAGGGAAAAGAAGGTTTTTGTTTTGTTCGGTTTTCTCGGTGAGTGGCCTAGAGTCTTAAGAATTTTTGTATAATCTCGGTAGCTCCACAGGAAAAAAAAAATCCCTCAGCAACTAATGAACACGGCTATTTGTTCTCTTATAATTCTGATTTACACCAAGTCCAATACGACTGTGCTGATTCTGGTGTTCTACTAAAGGTAAAAAATAAAATTACTTTTAGGCCATTTGCAAAATTCTATACCTTTCAATAGATTAAACCTGGCATTATTACAGCCCAAGATGTGCTTTTCATTTTCGACTGAGTAATGTAGCTCCCTTCCCTCCCCACTGCCCCTCACTTCTTTTCTTGCTTCTTTGCTTTTCTCCTTTCTTCCCTAAAGAAGACACACCTCTTTAAAGCATGGAAACATTATTGAGACTTTGGCCATCACCGCTGCTCAGGTGGGGCTGCAATTGTACATCATTAAAGCACCTGCCATTGTAGGGGGCGGGGAGGGGTCACACGTTCCCAGACAAGGGCAGCCGTCAACCCCCCCTCCACCTCCCCCGGAACACTGACAAGGAAGTCCTGCTGTGAGGTGCTTCAGGAACAATCAGTCCCTGCCTGAGCATAGGAGAAACCCAGGGCTTCCGTCTAGAAAGCTCCCTTATCCTGGTTGGAATGATGTCCTGATTTTCTTTACACAAAGAATATGTGTCGGGGGCGCCTGGGTGGCTCAGTCGTTGGGCGTCTGCCTTCGGCTCAGGTCATGATCCCAGGGTCCTGGGATGGGGGCCGGGCTCCCTGCTCCGTGGGAGGCCTGCTTCTCCCTCTCCCACTCCCCCTGCTTGTGTTCCCTCTCTCACTGTGTCTCTCCTTGTCAAATAAATAAATAACATCTTAAAAAAAACCCAAAAAACAAAGAATATGTGCCTTCTTGGGAGATGCCGCGAAAAGAGGTATGCTTTCAAATCACCTCAGTCTCGTGGCTCCCCCAGATCATCTCAACAGAGAGGAAGAGAGAAGTTGGCAGATCTCAGCACATGAATAGCAAACAACAAATTAATAACTATGTACTTTAATCTTCAGCATTCATAATTGCACAAAGTTCCACTGATCACTTAAATAATACATGTCAGTTAATCCAATGAAGAAACTAGCAAAGTAGAATGTTCGAAGCAATAACTCGAGCATGTTAAAACCTGTCTGCGAGTGGACATTTAACACACAAAGAGCAGAATCAGAACAGGTCTTTGAGGAGCAGTGATTTAAAATCCTTACCAACAGGCAAAGCACTATGGAGAAACACACATAAATGTATTCAACCTGCCAGATGTCTCAGCTAAATGCACAGCGATTCTAACAGGTTTGGCTACAGTGACTTTCCATATATATATATGTGTGTATATATATATATACAGTAGGTTCTAACACTCTAGGAGTGTTTGGTGATCGGAATGCAGAGTAGGAACAAAGGGGGACTACCATTACTTTCAAAGTAGAATTGAGTGGGGAAATTGAAACTCCTGACTAGTCAACTTTAAAATGGCATAAACAGAACTTTGTTACAGAGAGAGATTTTTTTTTTCCCCTTGGAAATGTATATGTGTCATAAATGGCCGAAAATCTTGTCCATGCTAGGGGAAAGTTGAGTGTGGAAAAATTTGCATTTTTTAAAATCTATGCCGTAAAGAAAATAAAAAGCCAGAGCATTCTGGCATTAGCAAAAGGCTGAACTAAGTTCTCAGGCAATAAATTTATGGGGAAACATGACAGGCTCCTCATTAAAGCGATGTGTATGTTGGCTGCATTTTATACAAGATTCTTGAATCTTGTGGAAAATTGGGCACGGCTTGACATCTGAACAATGTCCCTGGTTTGTTTGATTTCTAAAGCATCGGAATATGTTGCACTTTGGAAATCAAGTAGAGAAGAATAAACACACTAAAACAGAACTGGGCTGAATCTGAAAATTATTTTTCCATATGTCTCTATGAAATATTTATTACCTTTATTTCTCTTACAAACACAGCCGCCCCCCGCCGCCCCCCCCCCTCCCCGCTAGAAATACTGCGGTACTTTTTCTTTTCTTTCTTTTTTTTTTGGTGGTGAGAAAATAGTCCTGGTAAGGCAAATCTTACCCAGCAGCAGGAACCACCTAAGGATAGGCAATTTTCAGTTGGCTTTTCAGAAGCTGGTTGCCATGACAAAGAGCACAATTTATTCCTTGGTCCCTTATCACAGCTACAGATCACAGACCATAAAAATTAACAAGGCTCTCTCCCTTTGCCTGATGATTTCGGAGTCCCTCATCCTTACCTGAGGTCTTTTGTTCCCCCAATTAAATGGAATGAATGTCAGTCACCTAGCAATTCAATTAATGCTGATTCAAAATTCTGGCCCAAACCAGAATCTATAATCACAACCTCCTAATCACAGCTCAGTCATGAGAATGAAAAGTAAGCAGGAAATTGCACTAATTACTCAATTAGACTAATACTGTATTTTTAAGCTAGGGCTTAAAGGGGCTGTCAGCCCTGACAAAGGACAGCGGAGCTGTCCTCACCTTGTGTGCCTGAGGTTGCCCAACTGAAGCTGCTTTTTCAAGTGGCCATAATTTCTATCCATCGAAGATGGACTCCCCGAGCTGGGGAGTGGAAACTTACGAAGGAGAAACCGACCACCAATGAGGGGCAGGTCGGGGTGGGCAGGGAGGTGCGTCAGTGGCCCTTAACACAGGCCCCGGGGTGAAGGCAGCTGAGTGCACATCGTCACGGGGCTGGTTCCAGGAAAACATCCGGTGAGGAGGAACACTCAGGGAGCGCGAGGGTGGCTCTACCAAACCTTAAAACCGAGCACAGCTCCAGGTGCCAGCCTCCCAATCACGACAGAGCCTGCGGCGGGCGCTGGGCAGACAGCTCCTCAGCCAGTGGGCCCACGCCCGGGGGGTGCTGAGAGGTAAGAAGCACCCCCCCCCCCCGGACGGCTGCTGCAAAGCCCACCTGGAGAACCTTAATGAAATCAAGACCAGTGAGTGAGAAAGAAGTGGCTGGGAAGAACATACCAGATGGGGCTGAAGAATTTACAAAACAATGCAGGACATGACCCAATACAAGCTGGACCTTATTTGAAAGAAAAAGGGGCCTAAAAAATTAGACTCTTTTTTCCTACTCAGTTTCAGAAACTGAAATATTCTGTAAACAATAGGGAGGACACTAGAGCCTGTCATGCCTCTGGTTTTTGTAAAACTCCCTCCGAGCTGGATGCAGGCGAGGAGCTGGCCCCGGGCAGAGGGCAGAGGGCCTGTCACACATGGCAGGGTCTTTCCTCTGCGGCAGTTTCTGAAAATGACCAACTTGGGAACTGCTCAGGGGTTCCGAAAGGAGAAGAAGTATTTATTTGACTAAGACGGGCAAAGTTTTTACTTCCAGGGCTTGCCTTGCAGGTGGCCGCTGCTGAGCGAGCGGGGGTTTGGGGGGCCAGCAGGGCCCCCGGTGGGCAGGTTCTGACTGCTGCGGGCGCCTGGAACCTTGGAGTCTCTTCCAGCGGCATTCACTTGGCTCAGCCGGCCTGAAGGGAGCAAGAAAGCAGGGAGCAGAGCTGCAAGAATGACTCTGGGCACAATCTGCCAAGTATACTTTTAAGTTAATGAAGTCTTAGGGTACAACCACTTTTAAGCTAATGAAGTCCTATTCAGTGTCTACTTTAGGCTAAAACCTACTCTTCATCCTTGAGATCAACTTGAAGATGGGGAAGGGGCAGGGACGAAAGGAAGCCCAGTGACCTTTTTTTGTTTTCTTCCTCTCCATTATCCCCAACCAACCTAGCCTGGCCTTCATTCCTTCTTGGTAGAAATGGGTACAGGAGGGATTAGGGGAAAGATAAGAGAAAGTAGTGTGCTCAAGGGAAGGTTGGGCAGGGTTTCGAGGTGCCCAGAAGCCAGAGAGGGAAACAAAACCCATCAGAGAGGGAATCCTAGTGCCCAAGCTGAGCCCCTCCACTCTGCCTGAAATACGTATGTTATCTGACTCATAAATCCTTTCTCCTTCTCTGTCTATATGCAACGTCTAATTCTCCCCACAACCTGGGATCACTACCCCTTGCCTCCACCCCTCCCCCCACAGCACCCTTACACTCCCCATCCCCTACAGATATTTTAAGACTCGAATATGAGATCAAACTTTTCATACGATGAGGTCATTTTCAAAGCTCTACAGAAAACGTGATCTCTAAAGGTCAAAATATCTTACTGGGATTGTCCGCAGGACCCTGATCCTCTTCCAGGTAATATTCTATCTTTTTTAAATCTTCTGGGGTAAATCTCCATTTATTCTCAGCTGGTGGGGGCGGCACTTTGGGGCTGGATCGTTTCCGGGCAGAGCCAGGAGGAAGGGCCTGCTGGCAAGAGGCTGGCAGGGAACCGGTAATCAGTCCTTCTGGGAATTTCTGAGCTAAGACTTTTAGACCTAGGTGTGGAAGAGCATCAGAAAAAGCAGCGTTAACATGGTGAGGCGAAGGCAAGACCTGGAAAGGTGGCTGCATGTCTCCTAATCTTTGGCCTTCCAGTCCGAGCCAACACAAGGACGTGACATCTTAATTGCTTCACCATGAAGCAAATTACACCAGAAAATGTCGGTGGTTAGGCGGGATTCTGAGAATTACACCAGAAATCCTTTTGCTCCAGTCTTCAGCAGTAAGGCTTTCTCACAGAGCCTGAAAGCAACAGCGTTATTTCAGGAATTAAAAACATGTGCTGATGGAGCTAACGGAAGTTTCACAGAACTCCTGACCCCTTGCAGCCAGCACGGTTCTCTCTCCTTCCAGGATTCTAAATTCTGAACGTGGACAGGAAAAGGGTGATAGGGGAGGGGTTGAAGGGTTGGGAGTCCAGATACCTGCGTTTTCAGTCCCAAGCAGAGTACAGCCCACTCACCTCCGGAAAGCATGAAGAGGTTTTCAAACCCCCGCTCGCACATGGTGGTGGCCGCCTGGCTGGCCAGCCTCTCGTCATCGTCGTACAGAATGATGACCTTGCCGTGGGCATTTTTCTAAGAGTCACAGGAGTTAAGGTTCGCCCGCACTGGAACTACTGAGAAACTCCCAGGGAACAAGGAACGGTCTAGGTTCACCTTCCTGAGCTGGTATTCTTTTTTTTTATAAATGGATTATCACTGTGGTCCAAGATTATCACTACTAGCTCCACACCTTATACCCTTTAGCTCTTTTATCCTCACGGCCCTGAAAGGTCTGACAATCTCCATTTCACAGGTGAGGACATAGAAAACCTCTCTGTCCTATGTGTCCACTGCAGCCTTATTTATGATAGTAAAAAAAAGGAGACCCACCTAAAGGCCCATTTGAGAGAAAGAGTTTTTAAAAAAGTAAATCATAGTCGGGTGCCTGGGTGGCTCAGTCGGTTGAGCGACTGCCTTCGGCTCAGGTCATGATCCTGGAGTCCCTGGATCGAGTCCCGCATCGGGCTCCCTGCTCGGCAGGGGATCTGCTTCTCCCTCTGACCCTCCCCCCTCTCATGTGCTCTCTCTCTCATTCTCTCTCTCTGTCTCAAATAAATAAATAAAATCTTAAAAAAAAAAAAAGTAAATCATAGTATAGTATATAGTAAGATGAGGTAAGTACTGCATCAAAAATGGAGTTTACAAAGAGCTTGTGTTAGCATGGAGAAGTACACTGTACTATGTACGGAGGAAAAATCAAAATACTAAATTATATCTACAGTATGATTTCTACTTTGTTAGAAAAGAATACAGAGAAGACAACTGGAAACAAAATATGCAAAAAACATAATCAGAGTTGTTCAATTGTGTGATTATCAATCTTTTTTATATTTTTCAGTGCTTAAATTATTTTCTATTTGTGTAATTTTTATGAGCCAAAAAAGAAAGTAAGATTTTAAGAAGAAAAAATTTAAAACAGAAAGGAAAAAATTTACTCTTAGGTTTTACTTGGGCAAGTTTTCTGGGGGGAAAAAAGGTCTTAGGACTAACTCTCAACAGATCACAGCCTTTAACCTAATGTTTTTTGGCCCACTGCAGGATGGCTTGGAAGCATCTGCCAAGATGGTCAGGATACTCAGCAACAGCTAAGAATCCAAATTCTAAAATATGCTAAGTAAGCTAATTAATATCAAAGGTCCTTACCCAGCTTTTTTTCCTAGGAGCATGATTCATGATAAGTTTGACTCTTACAGTCCTCAAACCACCCAACTCCTTAAAATGCAACAAAGGATACATATTCAAGAATGTCATTTGAATAAGGGTTCATCGTTCTAGACAGAGTTGCAATTGGGTAACTATAAGCTGCAAAGAGAAGAAAAAGCTTAGGATGTTTGTAGCTCTCAGTACAACTTGGCCCCAAATTCCTGGCTGGTTTAAAGTCTAAAAGCTCAAAGAACCATACTTGCAAAATCAACGAGCCATAAACCTAAATACTTTTTTGAGAGCAGAGCAAAGGACACTGAACACAACAGGAAGCTTCATGTCACCATTTCGGACATTTAGCCCCGGGCCCCAGAGCCATCCGAGAATGTCACCAGCCTGTCTCAGAGCATTACGGCAGAGCCAACTTCCAGATTCCCATGATGGATCCAGCTAACAAAAAATTTCCTTAACTGCTGACCCTGGGATGGGGCTCAAGCCTGCCTAGACTCCAGACGGGCTCTGTTCTTGGGAGTGAGACACGAGAACGCCTTCGCTCTCTTACCTCCAATGACGTGGCACTGCTGGTAGGAATCTCTGTCTCGCACATCTAGTAGCAGGAAGGGGCAGTCAGGATAAGGTTTGTCTTTGGTGTTGGGCTCTGCTTTCTTCACTAGCCCTTTGTCTAGGTCCAGTTCCCCAACACCACTGATGACACTGCAAGTGAAAAGTAGGTCGGCGGAAACTAGTCAGGGGTGAGGGGCTTCAAGGTCAAATGTGTTTCTTCAGAACAACCAGGGAGGGCTCAGTGTCTTTTCAAAGGACACTTCAAAGAAAAAGGAAAATGGATATGGTATCTCAGTTCTGCCTCTGAATGCCCGACCGTGTGGATTCCCATTCTGTCACGCTGGACCCTGAGGAAGGGACCCACGTGTCCATCCATACGCACCTTCAGAGAATGCATGTTAGGTCATTAGCATGGCTGAGGGGGCACAAACCGTAGGGCACATGCCACCTCCAGCAACAAGGGCAGCGTTCAGAGAAAGAAAGAGGCCAGCAGTTCATCTAAGGGAATTGTGAGGAGTGTAAGAAAGCAGACCAAAAGGGGCAAGAATCGGGTTGGTAGGACAGGAAAAATGAAGGCTTTCTATGTACATTAGATGTAACATAAACCAACATCGATTAATGTATCTCATCTACTTACACAGCGACCTAGCCGATACGTATTTTGAATCTTAATGTTTTCAATAGTTATCTGTACTTACTCCCGGTTTATAGGTGACAGTGTTGAGGTTGAAGAGGCTTTTAGATTTGGTGGCATTCATATAATGAGACAGAGGAAACACTAGGATTAAATGAATGAGCTTCCTATTGACAGTTCTGTTTCTAAGTTCATAAAACTGGTCACCATATTAAGATTACAGACAAAATGTGGTAAAAAATATGAATCAAAGGCTTAAGAGGAGTGGCTGTTATGAACAAATGGCAAGGAGTGAAATATCTGTAGTGGAATAAGAGGACGCCTTTCCCAGGCAACTCTGAAGACGTGTGTGCCCGACCACACACGAGTATGGCGTGATGGCTCCTCTCCCAGCGCGGCAAATCCAATCCTGCACTTAGACCCGATAAATGCTGTAACTAGATGCCACAGAGTGCACAGGAGAAGAAGAAAATCTATTTCCTATGAAACTGCATCCTCAATGGAAGTCTTATTGGTCTGTGTCGCTAATTCCAATTTTAGAGTTCTTGCGTAAAGTAGTTATAAAAAAACAAGAGCGGTACTGGGGGCGCCTGGGGGGCTCAGTCGCTTAAGCATCTGCCTTTGGCTCAGGTCATGATCTCAGGGTCCTGGGATCGAGCCCCGCATCGGGCTCCCTGCTCAGTGGGGAGCCTGCTTCTCCCTCTCTCCCGCCCCTCCCCCACTCATGCGTGGGCACGCATGCTCTCTCTCTCTCAGATAAATAAATAAAATCTTAAAAAAAATAACAGTGGTACTGATGATAGCAATTCGTTCCCTTGCAGAACTAGTTTCCCTGGTACAACTGTTTCGCCAGTAGAAGGCATGGTCGTGCGCCAAAAATCAGCCCCATCTTATAATCAACACCTAATATCTGCGAGAAAGCGTTGCATCATAGTCTTCGCAGAAAGAAGGACCAGTCCCGTGCAGTTTGAGAACTCACTCCAAAGGCTGCTTTCGTGCTCCTTTGCACCTGCGTTAATATCAGAGCACGGCGACTGGCACTCTATTTGTCTTCTGATTGCAGACAGGGTAATTATAAGCTGCAGTAGACAGAAGAGGGGGCAGGAGTGGGAATCAAAAGATAGTAGTTGTAAAGCTAAGTCCTAATAGCAAACCTGAATCCAGGAAGGCTGAGAAGGATGGAATTGAGGAGTGAAAATTAATGCTCTCCTATCAATATACTCTTACCTTCACTAAGATGCTGTGAAAAGAGTCAGGCGGTGGCATTCATATCAAGAGAAAATTAGAAGGGCTGGGGTGAAAATGTGGGACTTGACTACGGCCAGTCTGTTTCTCCGGTGATTAAATCACCGAAACTGGTATCCAAAGGAGTATGAAGTAAAATGCAGGGAAAACATAGATCCGATGAGCGTACCTCTGCAGAGTGGAGCGACTGGAGTCCCCGGCTCCCGCGCTCGTTATGAACTGCATGGGGCTTGGCGACTGTTCCCCGGGGCTCCCCTTCCCGTTGGTCCTGGCACCGATTTCCCCGTCGGGCTCTGAAGTCGTCGAAGAGTCATTGTCTAAGATTTGCAGAGGGATAAATAAGTAAAGTTGACCTCCGAGTTTATTCACGGCAGTCCCACTGAAATTAGGTCAAGACAAGGAAATCCTATCACAATTATTAAATTGTCCTGGAAGTTCTACCACCTAGGACCCCAGGAGTCCCCGAGACCCTGTCAGGGGGACCCGCAAGGTCTCTTCTACTATGTTCATATTTGCACGAATGGTGCCAAAGCAATGGGGGCTAAACCTGTGAGCACCTGAGCAACAGTGGGGCAGAGGCACCGAGTTTTATTAGTGAGCTTCATATTTTTCACCAATATGTACGTGCTCGAGAAATAAATATGGCAGTCATGTTTTAAAAAAGTCCCCAATGGAGCCATAATCATAATTCTATTAAATCTCATCTTTAAGTACACACCTTTTGAATATTCTGTGTGATGAAATAGGGAGTACGCATATAGCAAGTCGGCTCCACCCCGAGATAGCATGGTTGTCTCAAGGCAAAGTATTAGTGTGATTAGGGCTGCTTTTGCCCTGAACACCATTTTTACTTGGAAGGAAAACTGACAGAAAAATTATAGTTACTTAGACTTGTGCATGTGGCAGATATTTTCTCAAAAATGATCTAAGCGAACTGTCATTTCAAGGAAAACAACTGATGGTATTGGTGTAAAGATTCAATTTTGACCAAAAATCAGAATTTTGGAAACCGTGTTCTCCATCAGTTTGACTGCCTCCCTGTACTTAATGACTTTTCTGATTAAGATAGGTGGTGAGATTAATAAATATGATTTTTTTGTGGATATTGTGTAATGAATGAAATTTGTCAATGTTTGGAAGATCTTCATAACTCCATGAATCAATCTTTTCCAAATGACCATTGAATGATGTTATAAAATCATGCATGGGTAAGAAGATTAATTCAAAGTGCAAGACAGACCAGTGGGTTTAATGGAACAGAGTACTAAACATGCATTGATATGGTTTCAGATTCCACATTACAACTAACCTTTAAGAAGCTACCAGTCGTCAAGTTTTAGTATGGTATCAAAGATATGTATCCACAATTATCTGGAAGGGTTATTAAAAGAGTCTCCCTTTTTCAACTACAGGTCCGTGTGAGGCTAGATTTCCTTCATGTACTTCAACCCAAAGAGCATATTGCAACAGATTGAATGCAGAAGCCATGAGAATCAGCTGTCTACTATGAAATCAGACATCGAGACTTAAAAAAAAAAAAAAAAGTAAAACAATGCCATGCTCAGTAAACTTTTTGTTTTGGAAATACAGCTATTTTGCATAAAAATGTTATTTATGTTTGCAATGGGTTCAGTATCACTATTTGTAAATGAAACAGTAAATAAATATTTTTAAGTTCTCAGTTAAAATTTTTAATATCCTAAATATTAATAGGTATAATGCACATAAACCAAAATTCTTTGAGGTCCTCAATTTAAGAGTGCGGAGGGAGACTGTACCAAAAAGTCTGGGAATTTGCTATTCTAACTAGTACAATGAGAGAAGAAATAGAAATAAGAGGCTTAGTTATTAAAGAGGATACTAACATTTATTTTGCATATGATATATAATACCTAGAAACTTCAGAAGAATCCTATGAGAATAAGGGAAATAAGTACGTGTTTAGCTTAAAAAAAGAAATACTAACAAACTACTTTTCTTATATGCCAATTAGAAAGGAATATGACGAGCATCTCATTTACAGTAACAACTGCAAATATAAGATATGCTCTCCTCGAAAATAAGCCTATTAAGACATGTAAAGGGCCTGTAAAAACTTACATCCTTTATAGGTCTTATAAAAATTTTACTTAAGAGACATTAAAGACAACCCGAATGAAGACAGTGATGTACTTTCACATTCCTGACTGGGTGACTAAAAGTGAAATGATGTTAATCCTTTCCAAACTTAATTTTTAGCCCTAAACCAATCCCAATGGGATTTCTGGAAAGCTTAAAAGGATTTTAAAGATGAGAATGAAAAAATTTTTTATATATATATGTATATACATATATAAAATATTATATATGTATATACATATTGTATATTTATATACACACACACAGACACACATACATACATATGGGTAATTTAGAGAATATGCCTTAGCGAATAGTAACATATATTGCAAAGGTAAAATGATCAAAACAATGCTGAACCACAAACCAGAACAACAGTATATGAGAACACAGAAACAAATCCCAGAATATATATAAAAAGCTAACATAAATGTTAAAGGTAACATCACAAACCAGTGGGTAAAGGGAGAACGAGTGAATACATGGTGGTGGGATATTGTGCCAACTATCTAGAAAAATCGAATTTAGAAAACCCCCTCACATCATATACCAAAATATTAACAAAGAGATTGATGTAGGAAAACAAACAAACAAAAAACAAAACCACCAAGCAAGCTAATAGAAGAAAATATAGGTGAATAGTTTATCTTATTTTGGATTTTATGAGCCTAAGGCAATAAAAGAAAACACAACATGAAAGGCTAATAGATAAAATCTCGTAAAAATGCAAACCTTGTGTATGTCAAAAACCAACATGAAGAAAGTTAAAAGGTGAGTAACAAATTAGGAAAAATATCTATGACCTAGATGCATGAGGAAAGGTTAATATACTTAATTCACAAAGCATTTTTTAATTAACTAGTGCTTTAATTGAAAAAAGATCCTGTGCACAAGGTAAAAATGCAAACAAGATAAAACTATTAATACAGAAAGGAAGTCCCTTCCCACTGCAGACCCGTAGGCCCTCAGGCCTCCTCTCCCAAGGGAACTACCTTCACAGATTTATGTCTTTTTCCAGAAATAAAACAACTACAGACTTTTGCATCTATTTTATTTCTTCCCCTTTTAACATATCAGGAGAATGCCACTCATACTGCTCTACACTTTGGTTTTTTGTTTTGTTGTTTTATTTTTACTTAATGATACAGCTTGAAAACTGTTCCAAATCATTAAGTAAAGCTTTTTCTCATTCATTTTCAAGGCTGTACTGGTTTCCAATGTTTAAAGATATCCTAATACACAGAGCTTTTACAAATCAGTAAAAGATGAACGTTCCATGAGGGAAAAAAACTGGGGAAGGACATGGAATGTTCTCAGAACAAATAGGTATGACCAATAAACAGACAGATACACAAAGCTCAATTTCATGATCAGAGAGATTCAAAGGAAAATTATTAGATACCACTTTGATCTATCAAATTGGCAAACGTTTGCAAAAATGATAATTACTCAGCATTGCCTAGGATGAAGAGAAACAGGTCTTCTCACTTATTTGTTGGGAATGCAAACAGGAAGAACCATTCTGGAGATAATGTGGAATCAGCATTGAGCATCTTAAAATGGTTCCACCCTTCAACCATCTGCAGCAATTTATCTTCAGGGAATAATCAGACGCACACAAACGTTTATGTATTTACATTAGAGTATTGTTTTATAAAATTGAAAAATTAGAAAAACCGTAATGTCCAATAAGAGAATAATTAAATTATGGTATAGCCACAGGACAGGCATTATATGACAACACAACCTTCACAATTCAGCTTTTGAAGTCCATTTAATGACATAGGATAGTATGCATGATAAAATGTTAATCTGAAACAGCACAATTCAAAAGTATACACAAAGAATACGGATTTGGGTGGGCAGTTAGGTAGGGGGGAAAACAGAGCAAAATGTTAGCAGGGATTATTATTTTAATTTTCCTTATATGTATTTTTTGCAGTTTTCTAATTTTCTAGAAATACACTTTTAAGTCAGGAAAAAACAGTAAACATTACAAAAGGAGATTTTTTATTCCTTCAAAAATAGCCAATATGCATACAATCTGTTCTACAGGCATTCCTGAGTGAGTTATTATTCTGTGTAGAGCACTAGAAAAACACTAATATTACTCACACATTATGGTGTCCTACTTTATAAGAGCCTATTTTGCTGTGCAAATTCATCTCAGAAGAGAAAATTGCATGTGCCCATATGTTCCGGTGCTGCAACTGCAATGAATTAAAGGACCAAATCCAGGTACTTATATAACCAGGTTAAAATTGGGAGTACTTCTATGAGAAGACTCAATTATCTCTGTTACAAAGAGCCCTTATTTCTCTGCCATGAGAGGTATCTGTCGAAGATAAATTCCTGTCTTTGTCAGGTGCTCTTTATCCTCCCCAACAAAAACAAGTCCAGGGAGATGACAGTTAAGTTGCACAAAACCAGGGCTCGGACTTCCTGAGAAACTTGTCTTGAAATCAGAAGTCAAAGTCCTGGCCTACATCAACCTTCACAGAACACATTTCCCTTCAGTAAACAGCCACACATTGATGGTTGAGTACCTCAGGATAAAATAAAGACCTTAACTCTCTGTATTCTTTTCATGACAGTACGACTAAGGGGCTTTATTTTCGACTCGGCATTTCAGAAAGGAAACCTGGAGCTAGAAGCCTATCTTCCTGGCCCTATCTCCGACCCAGCACCCATGCCTCCCCCAGCCGGCTGCCAGGCGGGGTGACGCATTCCCCAAACTCGCTTGGAGCTTCTCATTCTCCGCATGCCTTTGCTCAGGTTGCAAGAACTTCACCCTTAACTTGCACCTGTGAGATTCTGCCCTCCTTTCCGGCCCAGTTCAAAAGCTCTCAGAAAGCCTACCTCAGTTTTCTAACTGGAAAGTGCCTTTCCTTCCTCAGGACTCCCACAGCAAAGGCACTGGTTGTTACCAGACACTCGTAGATCTGTAACCCGGGCCCATTCCTTACCGGCTGTCTCACCTTAAGCAAGTAATTTAACCTCTGAGGCTTGGGCTTCTCATCTCTAAAGTGTACCTTCTAGAGCTTTTGATAAGATTAAATAAGAAAACTTGAGTGAAGTACTTAGCAATATATATTCAACAAATGATGGCTTCTCCCTAGTCCTCCATCATGAATTTCTGCCACGTTCGTGATTTTGTGCTTCTGTTCTCACTCTCCTCATCCAACACGCATACGTGTGTGCACATGTGGCCAAGCAGAGCTGGGCGTTACTCATCTTTGTAGTCTCCTAGCACCTCATACTGAGACCTGTGCCTATATAGAAGGCACTAAAAATATTTGTTGGAAAAAAAGTAATCAGTATATTAAACACATCAAAAACATTTAAAACTACAAATGTTAGAGCCAGAAAACCAGATGGCTTTTCAAAAGAAATAAGAATTAACAATTAAAGCACCAGGTACCATTTCTCAGAGAGTAACAATCTAATTGCAAATAGATCCATCAAAGTCCCAGTTCCCTGTGAACACAACAGCAAAGGCGGACAGGGTGAGTACCTTCAGTCAAGTGGTCAATCGTTTATTTGCCCCACATCCTCAATTCTCATTACCTTCTAGCCTTTGAATCTCTTCAGCTGTCACTTCCAGTGTTTGATCAGATAGGGAAGCAACTTGGATGACCTGATAGAAGAAAGAATGAAATGTATAGATGCCTGTATGTCTTTAAACAGAGGCAGTTCTGTCTTTTGTAACAGACGAGGAAACATCAAAGATCTCTTGGTTTAAGGAACTGTCAGTGTCCCCCACTGGAGACTAAATCTCAGGCCTCCTCATTTTGGGAATGGTAATCATACTGCAGATGATAGTTCCAGAAAAAAAAAAAGATTCATTTAAAACATCACATAATAAACTTAAAAGACCAAAAGGACAATTTAGGATAAGAAACGTGAATAAATAATCATATATATTTCAGTCTCAACACGCAGTACTTACAATGACAGAATTGAATCAACAATTCTGCATGCAATGAAGAAATAAATATAATTATGAGTATATGTATCACAACACTGTATACCTACAAACAGTTTTTAAAGCACTTTTCACAGTTCAGCTCCTAAGACCCAAGATCCACCTTGAGGTACATCAATGGAACTCATGTTTGGGGGCCAGAGAGACACTTTGCCCCTAATTTTCAAATGAAAGAAGAAAGTGACTTTCCCAAAGTAACAAAATAGCCCATGGCAATCACCTGGTTTCACGGAGAAAAATGTCCAAACAATCCAGAGACCAGAATTCTAGATTCTAAATATTAAAGCATGAAAGGAAAAAAATAAAACCTAAACCGTGTGATGAGTTAAAGGTGGAATGTACACTTTACTTTATCAAAGAAGACTGTTCATACTACCCTTGAATGAGCACACACACCACGCATCAATCTTCCCATAGGTGAAACGTAAAGAATCAGAAGAAACCCTTCTGCAAACATTACTTAGCCGTGGAATTTAGAAATACTCACATAAACCAGCACAAATTAGAGTCTTTGCTCCAATGGAGGATCGTTCAACTTACCAGCTGGGCAAAAGTTGTAACTTTTAGTCTCTTGAAAAGCTCATCCTTTTTGTATCTATAATCTGAAAAGCAGGATAGGACAAATAATTTTCTAGGTATATTTTTCTTTCTTAGAGGTACTCATTCTTTCTAGTCGTCAAGTTATGTGGTATAATTTTCAAGTGATTTATATGCTTTTCCATATATTATCTCATATACAATCCTCATGGTATGGTCAAAATTAAGTGTGCCACACATTCTTATCACCTCTTTATTCCCCTTCCCCCCCCACCCCTTGCTTTGGCTGGTAGGAAACCTAAAGTTGAATTTACAAGCCATTCTTTTGTGTCTTGTGACTTTACCCCTTGCATTTATTCTGTCTGCTTACCCTTTTTCCCTTTTACTCTGCTGTCTTTCTTTTGACCACCATTTTTGTAAGCCACTTTAAATCCTTTTCAGAACAAAGCAGGGAATAAATGTCTGCATTTTGCAAATGAGGACAGAGACCCAGAGAAGCTCAGTTGCCCCAGGTCAAACAGGTGGTAGGACATTCACACCCTATTATTCTAACTCTGCCCTGAAGGGAGACCGGTTCTGTTCCTGAGGTTACAAATTATGCTGGAGACATAGGACACTTCCCCCCACCCCGCCCCCCCGGGTACCATGCTGGGCATAAAGTTAGGCCTGGTCCTGATAATCTATTCTATCAGTTTCTCCACAACTTCACTTCAGTAAAAATCCACCTACTCAGTGTTCCAAGATGAAAAAGTTCCCGAGATCTGTTGTGCAGCAGTGTCACGTTTAAAAATGGTGAAGATGGTAAATGTGATGTTATATGTGTTTTTTTTTCTTTACCACAATTACAAAAAAATCATTCTGAAACATCAATATTTATTCAGTGCTATCTCGACAGTCCTGAGACACAACTCAAATGGGGGCACTTCTACGCCTGTTTGTTATTTTATTTTTTTTTTAAAGATTTTTTGTTTATTTTTTAACAGAGAGAGAGAGACAGCGAGAGAGGGAACCCAAGCAGGGAGAGTGGGAGAGGGAGAAGCAGACTTCCCGCCAAGCACGGAACACGATATAGGACTCGATCCCAGGACCCTGGGATCATGACCTGAGCCGAAGGCAGACGCTTAACGACTGAGCCACCCAGGCGCCCCTACGCCTGTTTGTTATTAACAGTTCTTGATATCACATTGACCAGTCTTAAAATTTAGCCAGTCTCACATGACCTAGTATCTGTCCCACAGAGACATGCTAAAAGTTAGCTTCCTTAAAATTTCCTGAAGATGACTGCCAATTCTGAGTTTTCAGCATCGAACTCCCACCCACCCTTACGCCTCCCTTCACTTCTACATTTTTATATTGGCGCCCATGATTCCTTAAGTACTTCCTCATTATTTCCGAATTACTAAAGGTTAGGAGGATAATTACTAAGGCCTTCACAGCATAGAAGTCGCAGAAACCGAGAATCCTAGCAACAAAGGAAAGGATTAAAGGTATTTAAAAGTATTTACCTGGTGTTCCTAATCATTTCCACGAATTTTCCAAAAACCAACACAGAACGAATCCTTTGGAGGATAACGTTAGCTTGGTTGACCAAACACCTTAGGACTCAGAGTCAGGAAGTAATAGTACTTTAAAAACTAGACTTGCGTCACTCTATCAAGACTCCTGTTACAGTGAAGTCAAGCTTCTCTGTTCTCCATGTCTCAAAGAGAGCCATCTGGCTAATAACTAACCATTACTTCTAGAAAATTCTCAGAATAGCTTCTTCTGGGTACAACAAGGTAACAAACCTAAATGCAAAGGAACTTCTAAGACCTGCCAGGATGCAGACCCAAGAGGCTGGGCAGAAGCTTTCAAAAGTACAGCTGAATAACCACAGTCTCCTCTCAATTGCCACCAATCTGCCCACCAAAAGTCATTTATATAAATCACAATGGCAATAAATCAGCCAATAAAAAGAGTCAACAGCTTTCAAGTAGCTTGCACTGTGACATTTCTCCATTGATATTCTTTTGGTATAGCTGCATAGTTTCAAATATTTCTCCACTTCTTCACATTCCCAGTACAAAAGGTACACATTCAAATCCCCTTTGACTAAGTAGAAATGATCTCTAACGAAAAACAGGCTCTACTATGTTCTACAGATTGGCATTTCTAGCATCCTCTCACAGGTGCTGGGCATCCCGCTGCACATTTGAGCCTGAACTCTACATACCTGGTTCTTGTTTAGAAGGAGAGCCATCGGTAGGACTTTCTGACATTATTACTCAGAGATAAAAGATCAAACTAGATGTTTTACTAGTAAGTTTTAAAGCTTATAAAAAAAGGCTGACTTGGAAAGCTCTGTCGTTCTGTCCTTGCAAGTGCGAACAGAGCTTTAAGGATGGAGCTTCTGCTACGGTCGCTTCTCCCAAACTCCGGGATGGAGACAAAAAAATCCTAGTTTCAGATACGTTATCAAGTTCTGCTTCTCTGGTAAGTCTGGAGTCTCAGAATGCCTCTCTCGAGTTACTGGAAGGACAGAGACCTGACTATCTAGGATGCTTCACACTGGGTCCAGCTAGTGTCATCTAACCACCAGAAGCCAAGAATAGGCTTTGTGAGCAGTCAATAGACACAGTGTCTATTTTCCCGAGACAGAGTAGAAAGAATATTCAGATTACAAAGGAATTCTGCGTTTTCAGGGTACTGTTAAAACGCGTTACTAGCAAAGGGAAGTTGGGCTCACAGTGGAAGACAAATCAAAGGAAGTAACAGAACAAGGTTTGTGATTTCACAGAAAGACATGGCATCTAAGGTAACCCACGAAAAGTGATGGGTCTAGGATGTCACGAAACAAGGCAATATTCTCCTCCCTTTTGACCCAAAAGAACATCTACAACAGAAAACAGGAAATAGCTTCCAAAGTGTATATCTCAAATCAGAATCTGAAATAATTCTAGTCAGGGAATCAGCACAAAGTGTGTGAAACAAGGTGAGAGGAACCTCCTGTCTTCCTAAAAGGAAGTCCAAAACTTCTAAAGAGGGAAGCAAACATTTTCAAGGACTCTATTCTAGAGATATTGGCGGGGGGGGGGGGGGGGGGGGGGCGGGAACGGTGGAGGGGGGGGGAGACCAGCTCCATTTAGAATTTAGATATTAGAGAAACCACATTGTGCTTTTAAGAAATGTTTTAAACAGGGTTCAGCAATCTGGGTGGAACGGGACATTTTCAGGGGACAAATCTTGGTGTGGACATTTGAGCTTACATTAAGCTACGAATGGATAGGAGGCAAAAGGAGATTGCAAGCCCAACCAGAAGCAAGCCAGCTGAATTTTACCTGCTGTGCATGAACTAAGGACAACAACAGTGAAGCATGGGTGAGTAAATGAGATTTTTTTCAAACAGTTTAAAATGGTAATATATACTTAACGAATATATACTTATGTAATGTAAAATATAATAAAAGTACAAAATCTGATATAAAGGATCAAAGAAGAAAAGGATGGTGTGACATTACCCATGAAAAAACAAACGTCTATAACATTAACCTTTATAGCTGAACACGGCAACTATCAAGAGTCAGCATAAAGCTGTTCCTGAGTCCACACTATTGGCTGGGGTTTCTTAATACCGCGGCAATTCAAAAGAAGCAGAAACATTATCATTTAAATTCAAAGGCCTGTGTTATAAAAACAGAAGTTCTGGTTTATTCTGGGTTTGTAATATTCTCTTCCTGAAGGATGTGTATTACCAGAGTGAAGTTCTGAACTACGAACCATCAGAGCGCCTCTTTACTACCATTAGCTAACTACTCCCCTGGCACTGGGTTCCTCTCCTGAGGAGATGAACAAATCCATCTTAGGAAATAGATGTTCCTACTTCTTTAATTCTGGCCTTGGTGTGTACGCTTTCCAGCCATTTTGGACACAGGTTGAAAAATTATGATTTTGTGCAAGGGTGACACACTCGGTGACTAGTAGCTTATCTTTGAAGCAGAGTAGTTTGTAAAAAGGACATGCATGAAATATGATTTTTAATTAAAGGAAAGCAGACTGCAATGAATTCATAAGGCATAGCACCACTTTAAGCTCGCTCTCTCTTACCTCTCAATGTCTTTCATGAATAACTGATTAATTTATATGCAAAAGGAGGTTATGAAAGAAGAGATAATATTATTCCTATCTCGGGCATAGAGAGAACGAAGAAGGTAGGAAAGATCATGACCTTGAAAAAGGTCGTGGAGACTGCAGTGCAATGAAACCAGAAGCTCGGACTCTCGCTGCCTAACTAGAGAGCTCATTCTGCATTTCAACACTAACATCTCCGGTGGGATGTCAGTCGGGCAGAACTCGGCCCTCAGGCAACAACCTCAGCAGCTGGCTGGGATGGTACATGGTGTTTCCCACATCCTCCTCGGCACCTGCCAGGCTCGCCCGCCTCCCACAGATCTCCGTGCCTGTCAGCTGTAGGATGGGGCTAAGGTTGTTAATAACCAACTTCTAGAACTTCAGTGCTCTATTTTCCCAAACCATCAATAGTGTTACTCACTTTTTTTGATCTCTTCTAGCTTCTCAATGTATTTAGTCATACTGTTACCTAAAAAGAAAATACGATAGGCTTTTAATGGAAGAAAATGAGTTAATACTGTAAAAACAGAATGGAGTACAAGTATTCCCCAAGCCTTCCTATCTGATTCTTACGGAATCATAGTAGGTAAATGGGCCTCATTAACACTCTTTTGGATTATACAGCCTCATTAAACGATGAGGAATCAAGGGGAAAGTATTGGCCAAATGTATTGAAAGCGTACATACCCAATAAACACTAGGAAGCCCCAGGCCATACAGATGATCACTTTATATAATCTTTTTTTTTTTTTTTCTTTTTGAGTCAAGGCTTTCCTCCTCCTTTTATTCCCCCATAATCTTTCTGTGGGGAAGATGTGCCAAGGAGAAAGAAAGAAGCAATGATCTCTGAATGTCTAAAATGTGCCGCTGTGGCTACCCAAGCAAGCCCTTGCTCTCTGCTTAGTCTTTGTGGTTTCCCTCGCTTTCCTGGACTTGGCCTTCAACTGTTCGTGCTGATGCTGCAGCCTGACCTAGACCACACAGTCTGTGCGCTAGTATTCACCATGGATTCCCACCAGTGCGGAGAGCACCAAGCCCTCGTGTTCTGCAGCCTGGTTCTACAATACCAGGGGCTAGCCAAGGTGGTTTGGAGAGTTTCCATACACTAAAACGGGGCCAGGATCCTTTTGGTTTCTGAACGAACTAAGGTCTAGTTCCCAAGCCACGGGCTATTATTTTTTACTGGGCATGCTTCACTTTGATTCAGCATGGCAAGCTCTGCCTGGCATTCGAAAGATACAGCAAAAAAGGGGAAAACTGTTTCAAACTTTCTCATTTCTAAAATTGTGCTCCTAACCTTTAAGCCTTGGGAGGAGCTAGTCAGATTCAGTCCCAAATTCAGATAAAAGAAATGCTTCCAATTAATGGCATGAACTGATGTTTTTTCAGGACTAGCCCGAGCTTTTCTTCATGTTTTAGGTCAGAAGTAGAGAGAGAAAATTCTTGCTCTGAAACCCAAAATACATTTTCAAAAAAACAACTTACATCACGTTATTATTATATCTTTACTTATGAATTCATCAGGGAATAAAATTCCAGAGTCAAAAAAATTTATTTTTTTCCACCTGAAGACACACACTCTCTGGATCAGGATGAGACAGCGGGAAACAGTATAGCCCTAGAGCCAGACTGTGGCCTTCCAAAAGCTCAGAGAGACATGACAGCAGTCAGGGAGGCTGAAAGGCCTGAGCCTTCTCAGGAGAGACACTGAAAATGGCTAAGAGGTCCAAATAGCACCACAGACCAAGAGTAGAATCAAATATGATCTTTTCTAGGTTCTTCAGGCTGGAAGTGACCTGAGATGTGACCGGATCTCCGGAGTGGGAACCACGAATTCTTCCTCAATGCACACCCTTCTCCCCTGCAACTCTGACCTCAGGCGGGAACCCACTGGTCAATTCAGTGGGGGAAGAAGACAGGGCAAACATTGTGCTTGCTCTTCGGTGTCCTGCCGTCTTATTCTGAAGCTCTTTTACATGATAGCTTTTGGTTACAAGTGTTCCTGAATCCCCTACATTTGCGTGTTGCTGACCCAGCAGTTAGCTTCTTTTGGCGGGGCAGCTTTGGGCAGTCTCGTCAGAAAGCTAAGGTACAAAAAGGATCACCGATTTGTTCAGCGAATTAGTAACTAAGCCGGGCTGAATGTTCCCAACCTCCTGGTTTGTAATATGGCTCACAAAAACATACTCGTTGTGCTGTTTTAAAAACACGATTTCACCGTGAGGTAAATATGTAGGAAGTGTGACTTCCCTAATAGTAGCAGGTGGGACCCACGTTGCGCTCTAAATTCCCCGAGGCACACCACACAAGGAAGACAATAGCCAGCCATATTATATGGTCTTTATTATTAAAAACATCGCATTTCCAATCTAGAGCGGTTTCCACTAGCAAAGTGTCTGAAGGCCATTTCTCAATTAATCAATTATCAGCATTTTCCGAGTATTTACACAGCACTTCATCTTTGTACCAGCAGGGCCTCACACCAACCCTGTGAGGTAGGCCGGCGCTCCTACTGTCTGTTTCTCCCACTAAAGGAGAAGGCAGGCAAGTGCAGTCCTTTGCAGAGGTATACAAATACTTGGCAAAATTAAGCACAAATCTGAGAGGGCGACCGATAAGAAGGTCTTTTCATTATAGACATTCATTCTATCGAAGCAGGGGGGAAAAAGAGAAAATGGAGGATTTCTGCATTGTTGCAGCTGGAGAAAGACACTAGGAATAGCTGACACAAAAGATCCTTAAAAATGATTTTAGAAAATATGAAATGTAGTATTGTACCCCACTTCATAGAACGCTTACATCTTAACTACGCAGCTTATCTTACTGGATCTAATTGCATCTGAAAATAGGCTTTTGACTACCTTTTAAAAAGACTAGAAATGAATCAATTCTATAATTGGCTTATTTATAAATGCAGCTTTGTTTCATACAAAAGGAGCTTAAAAGACTATCAGCAAACCAGTTTTTTTTTTTAACTGAAATTACACATTACTGCTAGATAAATTTTCCGAGACAAGACTTTGATTAAAAAAAAAAAAAATGTCAGTGGCTCCCCATTGCTTCCTGACTAAAGTTTAAACTCCTTGTTCTAGAGCTAAAGGCGCCAACGTCTTACCTGCCTCTTCAATCTTGCCTTAATTACTAAACTTGACAAACTCTCCGTTGGTCTTCTGTTCTCTAACATGTCATCTTGTCCATATAATCATAATAGCTCACCCAGCTGGAAGTGACCTTTCCCTCCTCTGAACTTCTACAGCACTCAGCTCAGCACTCACAAGGCATTTATCATTATACCGCCTTATTTGTGTGCAAGTCTTATCTACCTTCTGATACTGAAAGCCAAAGACTATTTACACAGACACACACACACACACACACACACACATCTCTTCCATTGTCTAGCATAAAAGGTACTTGGAATTATTTGCTAAGTGAAATATACTATGAAGATCTACTACCTGAAGAATCCTTATAATGAATTATTTTATAACACAAATTATCATGCCCCAATTTGGCTTGAGTTTTTGGACACCTGATTTTCTTTAAGCTATGCACAACTTGATTATTATTATAGTATATGTTATATACTACCTATGTAACATCCATATTATTTCAAGACTCGGGTAACCTTGAAATGTGTAAGGTGGTATTTAGCTTCTACTTAGTTTATAATTTAAATTGCAAAAAAGATATATATATATACTTATATATATATAAAAGTTGTGCGATTAGAATCAAGAGAAAGAGACAACCCAACTCTATCAATAGTGCTATGCAAGAGAGAGAACAATCGATAAATGGAGTGACTCGTTCGTTAGATTTTTTCCCTTTGTTTTCCTATAATTTAATAACATTATTCGCACTGAGTCAGTAAGGAAAGCAAGTGATTTTGAGCAGCAGTAATCCAAAGTGGGCAAGATTTATAAGGCACGAACTCAGTTGCTAAGAGACAACTCCATTGCTTTATTTTTCTTCAATATTTCCCTCCTCTACGGAGAAGTTCTTTTGGCTCAGAAGGAGCAGAAAGCATGAAAAGCGGCACAGTGGTCTTTTGTTAATCTCAATAAGTTATATGAGTGTATAGTGCTTTCTGGTTTATAAAAGGCTTTTACATACATTTCTTCCTTTGACATAAAAAACAGAATTAAATACCAAATAAAAGTGAAGAGTACCTAGTCTGGTAATGAGTTTGAGTGCTTAAGATCAAGGCTATTAGCAAATATTCAGACAAAGTAGAGACTAAAGAAGAAAAAAGGACATGACTAGTTTGTGTGGAGATAACGAGTAATGTGAATTTTTAAAAAATTAAAAGTAAGGCTAGAAGAGACGCAGTGGAGAAAAATCTACAGAATTTTAGAAAACTGGACATTTGAAATTAGATTGGATAGAGATTGAAATGAGAGGCTAATGCAGGCGATGAAAGAGTGTAGGACACTGACAAAGGGAGAGCCCTGTGGTTTGGAAAGTGTCCCTTCATCAGCCTGTGGTGCAGTGGAAGGGAAACCCAGAGAGGGTGCTTGAGAATACACAAGAACCCTGCGGTGGAGACCCAACAAAACGCCGTCAGGGATTTCGTCAGAAGCATAATCCATTCATGGCACAGTCTGGCAAGGCTGGGGAGCTGGTAAGAGACACCCAGGCACCTATGGAACAAAAGAAATATTTGAAGTTCAAAATGATTCTGGTATTTCTAGCTGTGGCTATATAGCAGTGTTTGAGTTTATAGGAGAAGTAGAGTCAGAAGCATAGAAATAAAAAATAATCTTTACCCAGGAAGAAGACAGCAGTCTTTGAGGAACTCAAGAGGTGATTTGGGTGAAGACTGGAGATACCACGCAATTCTTGATTTCTTGTGATTAACTCTGAATTGCTCACTGTTTGGTAAGAAAAGATTAAAGACCCATCTATTTAGCCTAGAAATGAGGAATGCTCACTCATACCTGTGCTTATTTTCACTGCTCTGACTGCAGAGCTTAAAAACATACCATAGACAGGGGCTCCTTACTCTCACGGGGCTATAAGGTTACTCTTCTGCTCTCTTAACCAGGACTCCTCACCCTTTGCACCTGTTGGCACACATATAAATGATAATATTTGAACAAAACGCTGGTGTAAATGCTGGCTGCCCCAGGCCCCAATGGCTACCCAGAGAGCTAACAGGACATGTATCGTGGCACATAACCAACCAGCCGTGGCACAAGTGGAAATGTTCTCTGAATACACGGGGAGAGAAGTCACAAAAATGCATAGAAAAAAAAAAAAAAACATTAAAATCCTCCCCTGAAATTGGGGCTCCTGGGTGGCTCAGTCGTTAAGCGTCTGCCTTCAGCTCAGGTCATGGTCCCAGGGTCCTGGGATCGAGCCCCGCATCGGGCTCCCTGCTCGGCGGGAAGCCTGCTCCTCCCTCTCCCACTTCCCCTGCTTCTGTTCCCTCTCTCACTTTGTCTCTCTCTGTCAAATAAATAAATA